CTCCGGCAGAGAGAGAGATAGAGACACAGAGAGAGTGACTCGCTGCACAGTGCTGGAATCGTGACAGAAACCGACAGCCTTCGTCAGACAGGCGTGACTGCAGGACATCAGCCACATCACTCGGGCAGGAAGTCCTCTCCTTTATCGTGTGGAAAGTTACTTTGAAGCCATCTTTTGTAGTGTTCGTGCAAAGGTTTGTTGCATTTATAGCAGCGTGAAATCACCGCATTGTGTATATATATATAAACAGCAGCGTCCAAACGGGGAGAACCTGCCACCTTCTGATTTCCGCACTCTGCACTCTTGGTTCGTGTCTGTGCTTTTTGACCAAAGGTAACAAGGAATCTGGTTTTAAGCAAATTGTGCAACAGGTTTCCGACCTGCACAGTTTGTTAAAATCAGTTCACCCGTGTGATCTGATCAGTGGGATCTGTGCATTAGTAATAAAGCACATTCTCGCCTTTGCATAAAATCACACCATCATCATTGATTATCTTATCCCTGAAGTATATATATAATATCTATATATATGTGTGTGGAGAGTCCTGTATTTGCACAGTTTCTGACAGCCATGGATGTCCTTCCCACTGTGAAGAGCGAGGCTCTGCTCGGTTTGGAAGCGCTCCAACAGATGAGCCATGTGGATTCATTTAGAAATCCTCACTCCCCATCGCTCCAAATTCACATCGCTCTCTTGTCGGATCGGCCTTTGCACTCAATGTGGTTAAAGTCAAACACTTTAGTAAAACAATCTGTCGGTGGTTACACCCCGCAGTCAGCATGCATTAAAATAACTCTTGTGAGCATTGAGAAGTTGGTTGGAGTTGTGGAGTCCTGCAGCTCAGTGGTTAGAGCACTTGCCTTGCAAGTGAGAGACCGCAGTTCGATTAATAATAGTAATAATAATCCTTGCATTTGATATAGCGCTTTTCACGTCTTCTAGACGTCCCAAAGCGCTTCACAGAACACACTGTAAAGTGAATTGACCGTATATTTGTGGGCGAACGCGGCAGCCAATTGCGCACAGCAGTGTCCCACAAACAGTCGTAGATTGAAAATGACCAATTTATTATTGTTTTGTTTTGGAGGGATTATTATTAGGCTCTGTGTGGAGTAAGGAAACTTGCCCAAGGTTTCACCCTGTCTGGAATTGGTCTCTCACTTGCAGAGCGAGTGCTCTAAAAACGGAGCTACAGGACTCCACAATTCCCGGCAAGGAGGAATGTTGGGTAAGTTTCCTTACTCCACACGCCTCTGTTTACCAAGGAATAAGTAGAACCTGGTTGTTAGTCGATTGGCGGATCGCTTTTCTGGGGGTAATAATTCCTTCAAAAAATAACAATAGTAAATTGGTCACGACTGTTTGTGGGACACTGCTGAGCGCGATAGGCTGCTGAGATTTGCCCACAAAATATAAGTCAATTCACTTCACAGTATATTTAGTGCAGCGCTTTGAGATGTTTCGAAGACATGATAAATCTCTATATCAATTGCAAGGATTATTATTATTATTGTGCTATAAGACATTTCTTTGATCTAACGTATTGAGTTATGAAATAAAGCACAGTTTTCACTGTGTTTTTGTGTAATTTCTTTCATTTGAATTTCTCCCTTTTTTAATATGAAAAGTAGACTCGGAGAAAAATGGAAAATAAGCGAGTTGTTACTTTGGATCAAAAACTATTTAAATGGTTCTAAGTACACAGCATCTCAGACAGATATCAACACAGTATTGGCTGTAGTTAGTTGAGATGTCATTGATTGGAATAAGGGAACATGAGCTACAGGGGAAAACAAGTTACCATCTCTGGTAAACAAATAGCAGGTGTAGTGTTATTAAAGAAATTTGGATTTACATGTTAACTTATTGAATCCGGTATTCTTTTAGAATACTAACTGACCAAATGCACCTAAACTCAGAGCTACCTGAAACCTAATCTATGTTGCCTGCCTGTTTCTCAGGTGGATTTTAAAGATACCATGGCACAAGTTGAGAATAGAAGAGAACATTTCACCAATGTCCTGGTCAACAATCTTCCAGATGAATTGATCATTTACCTCATAGCTGTTTGTGGGGCTAAACATCACAGTAATTACTGTGAAGTGCTTTGAGATGTTTTAATGATATAGATACTATCACAATTACAAGTTCTTCATTTACATTGATTATATTCGAGTTTGAGAGTTCACACAATGTGCACTTAGAGTTGGGAAGTGAATGCTGAGAGCCAACTCATTTCCCACAAAGCAGTTTCGCTGGCACTTATTTGGGTCTGTGTGCATGGACAATGCAAAAGGCGGTGATGCTTGAAATAAATGCTGCGTTAGCATTCTGTAGGATTAGCAAAACAGACAGTTATTTGTCAGTTTTGAGACAACCAATGCCTTTTTTCATAACACGAATTATCAGTTTTTGCAATGCTCTCCTTGCCAGCCTCCCTGACTTCAGCTTGAGTTTTTTTCCCCCTCAATTGGTGAGCTCAAAGCTTCCAGTACTTCAGCAATTCACTTTGAGATTCTTGCCCTGACTTTCAAATCCCTTCACAGTCACTCCTATGCAGCAATATTCCCCTGCTTCTGACCTCTGCAGTTCCAGTACTCATGTATTGAGAAGTTGGTTGGAGTTGTGGAGTCCTGTAGCTCATGGTTAGAACACTTGCCTTGCAAGCGGAAGACCTGGGTTCGATTCCCAGCAGGGCGAAACCTTGGGCAAGTTTCCTTACTCCACACGCTTCTGTTTACCTAGGAATAAGTAGGAACCCGGTTGTCAATCAATCTTCCCATCCTCTTCCCATGATCAGCCTTTTTTGTGGAGTCCTGTAGCTCAGTGGTTAGAGCACTCGCTTTGCAAGCGAGAGACCTGAGTTCAATTCCAGGCAGGTCAGGGCGAAACCTTGGGCAAGTTTCCTTACTCCACACGCCTAATAATAATCCCTCCACAAAAACAAATACAATAATAAATTGGTCATTTTCAATCCATGACTGTTTGTGGGACACTGCTGTGCACAATTGGCTGCCGCGTTCGCCCACAAATATACAGTCAATTCACTTTACAGTATATTCTGTGAAGCACTTTGGGACGTCTAAAAGATGTGAAAAGCGCTATATCAAATGCAAGGATTATTATTATTATTATTCAGACTTAACTCTTGTCCTCATAGAATCATAGAATTATACAGCACAAAAGGAGGCCATTTGGCTCATCGTCTCTGTGCCGACTCTTTGAAAAGAGTTATCCAATTCAATCCCACTCCCCCGCTCTCTCCCATAAACTATTTGCCTTGTTTCCTTTCTTAAAAATATATCTCTTCAATTCTGCCTTTGGACAACTTCCTGGACTAACGTATTTCCCTGCTTGGTCTCAGTATTATACCTATCAAGTGCTTTGAGAAATCCATTATATGTGAAATTAACTGCACAAATACAAAAATATGACTCAAGAAGCGTAGAACTTTTTGGAGCTGTCAGAAACCTAAAAAAAATGTGTGATTTAATCCAGGTTTAAATAAATGCAGTATTACTACTCTGTTTAAAAACTCACCTGCTTTGTTATTCGTATCGCCCACATAAATATGTCTTAGATCAAAAAGTAAGGGAAGTCAAGAATGATTGACACAAAATAAAAATAATAAATAAAATCTTTACATTTGATAATCGCAAAATGCTTAACAGGATTTATGCAGTGACTGTACACGTTGTAGGGGAACAATGCGCAAAGCAAACAGCCAACAAATAAATCGTGCATTGCCAATTTATTTTGTATGGGATGGTCAGGAGGTCCTTAACTCGCTTCTATTTTCGAATTGTATCAGTGTGTTTCGGTGGAGAAACGATTTAAAATGGTATCGAAATTTTGCACGACTTTTGCGAAAATGTTTTTATTCAATTTTTGCTGTCGCATTTTGATCTTGGAATCGCAGTGTTATCTCGGGGCATTAGCACATCAGAGATGGCTTTGCAAAGCAAAACTCAACAACCTGCATCTTTCTGTCGCTCGTTCCCATTAGAAATGAACGTAACGTTATTTAACATTCTGCTGTGTGCGACTGAGCTTCACTGCAGGATGTCTGATGGGGGGGGCAGTGAAATCGGTGAATGAAACAGAGTTTAGGAGAGGTAAAATCACGGTTTACTACGAATTTACAAATAAATTAGGTGTCAACTACTGCGCTGCAGAATTTCCCCAGATACAAGGCACCTTCTTTAAGCATCTTAGCGCTTTGAAGAACGCACACTTTAAAACAGGAGGGAATTGTGACATTATGCAAAACAATATTTATTTTCGTGCTTATATGCAATTATTATTTTTTCGCATCGACGGAAGCAGCTAAATTGCCTGTTCTTACCACAGCCCTGAAAAGTTTTGCTCTGGTCTGCAAATTAAAACCCTCTTACATTCTCAACCGGTGTCTGTAAAGCGATACTCGTTTTGGGGGCATAAACTATCATTTCACCACCACAGACATTGTTTATTTCTGTGTAGTGTTTATTTCTGCCATATTATTATTATTATTATTATTATTATTATTATTATTATTATCATTGACATTTCAAAACTAAAATACACGAATTTACTTTTTATTGAAAAAAGAAACAAGATCAACATGATTTTGTGTTTCCCCCAATTCCGCTGGAGGAAGCCTGGGATTGGTAAAGTGCAACATTTTATACAACTGGCAAAATACCATCTTCCCACTGTGTGGGCAAAGAGACAGGTTCGAATCTACCACGTTCAGCAGTTGCATCTGCGGCGACACGGTATGTGTGTTGGTCTGCATGCAGTCAGGGGGTCGATCCTGTTGTTTTCTATTGCGGGATGGATGGATGGATGGACGTTAAATCACAGTGAAAGGAAGGGAATAGGAAGACACATCAGGTTGCTTTGGGATTCCCTCCCCCTCCCCCTGACGCGGATGGTGGATCGGGCACCTCCTCCTATATAGAGCCAACACAACATCCTGTCCATCCAGACTAACACCGACCGACACCCGTCTGCTTGAGCCCAATGTGCCAGTCCCTCCCTTTGCAGGACAGCGGTTCGCAAACGGCTACTTGGGATTATTACTTGGGAACTTGGCCCCAAACTCCCCGGTGATCTGAAGGTACCCGCGAGTCTCATTTCGTTGGGATCTCCAGAAAGAGAAAGCCGCTTTTGAGGACGATATTGACCGCGGTGTTCGCACCTCCTGATCCCTCTGCGCCGCGATATTGGTTGGAAAAGGACTACATTGGAGCAGCCTCCGGGCAGGTAGTCAACCCCACTGGAGATCGCGTTGATTTGGATGCGGTTAACATTCCGACATGTCAGGAAAAGTGGTCATCCTCCTATTCCTGTGGATGTGGATCACTTATACAACAGGTGAGGGATATCTGTGCTTCAGAGTGAAGTGAGAATATTCTCCAATAAAGTGTCACGAATATTGACCATCGGTTCAATGGGAGGACGCGAATAGAAATGCACGAGTCAGATTCCCCCAAATATACAATATCATGTGCAATGCCAATTTAACTCCCGTTTTGCGCCGTTGTTTGTGGGGGGAAGACAACGTTTAAATGCGTCGTTGCATTTGACGCAATTTGCAAAGTGCAGCCCTCCTCGGGTCCCGTGAGATGAAATGGTGTTGGACAACCAGGGGTTAGTGGGTTGTGCAGTGAGAGTGTCAAACACGGTCATAAAATGCACAGAGTGCAGCTGGAATATATGAAACCTTTGCAATAGCGGTGGATCGGTTATTTGTTTGTGCAAATACCGCTGAACTGAGCAGCGACGTCTCAGTGCAATTGATAATCACTGCAAAGTCAACTCAGCCCCATGTCACTTCGCTGGACATTATCTCAGAAACAGTCTGAGAAGCTGACGTGAGAGTTGGAACCGCTCCGGCTCCTTAACATGAGCTGTGATGCGATGTGTCAAGTCAGTCCCTCTGGACACAGAAACTCGTCCAGCGCAGGTCTCTCAAACATCCACATACTGTGACAGGTACATGATGGTAAATGGCCATATTTAGGACGTTAAATGTGCAGCGCTTTGTGCATAAATCAAGCATTTATCTTCATGATCGTCAACATAATGATTTGCATTACCTGGACAGGAAATGCTGCTAAAGAAAGCCAGCTGTTTGTAAAGACAGGCAGGGGGATGGGGGAGTTTTTGTAACGGTCTGAGGAATGTTTCGCCCCCAGAAGTTGTTTTTTTTTTAATGAGCTTTATTATACAGTGCAAAGAGACATTCAATGTGCACTGACTATTCTCGTCCCGAAAAGTGTATTGCATCTGGGTCTTAGTGCTCGTTTAGTTTGTTGTGCACACACTGCATGGTCCACTTTGGTGGGTGCCTTCTGGCTGTGAGGAGTCCATTCATTGCTGCATTTCACTGCATTTCAATCACTAAGATGGAAAAGGGCTTCGTGAATTACGAAGACTGTAGAAATGTGCATCATTCAAAGTCGCGTGTGCTTATGTTATATATATTTTGCCTAAAAGTCTGCATTTTGCCTAACTCTGGTGCCTGAAGAGCACATTTACCAATAACGTTGCCCCGATTTAATACGTGAATGAGTTGTGGTTGAAAGGTCAGAATGTACAAAGTCAATTCTTTTTTACTCAATCTGAGGCACTGGTTGCTGCAGGAGGCTGGGTTGAAAGGGCAAATGATTTTCATTGCAAATAATGTGACTGTGATTTATCGTATGACTCAACCGTGTGGTGATTTTCTGAATATGGTGAATTCGTAAAGCACACAGGAAAATTTATTCAAGAAGCCTTTGTATATAAGGCTTAGTTCAGTTATTTTTGCACAAATATCCATCAACATTCATAAATGCAGATGATCTGTACGTTCCTTTGGAAACTAAACCACTGCACAGTCTGAATATTCTTTAGGAATTTTTTTTTGTCGTGAGCAGTCTTTTGGGGAGAAACGATTTTCAATGGTCAATCTTAACTTCAGTGTGAATGTCCCGAGGTGATGTTTTGTGTGTCTTGAAAACAGGATGTTGAACAGCAAAAGACCTGTTCTTATTTTTACTGTTAAAAATGGGGGGAGAAAACCATTGAGAAACAGCTCCATCCATCAAAGGCACAGTAAGAACACCCAAGTTAAATCACCACTTGAATAGAAGTACTGTAAGTCTGTTCATTCTGGAGCAGATTCATTATTTATGATCTATTGTAGCATTGAATGAACTTTGTTCAAAGAATATGTGTAAATGTGAAAAAAAAAGTATCAGCCAGGCTTTCTGAATATTATAAATTTCCATTCAATAACACAACTTCACATGCCAGTTTTTAACCTATGGAAGAGAAAGCAGACCAGAACAAAGTACTGTATCAAAACAATCTTGAATACAAGCTGAGAAGAGGAAGTTGAAAACAGCCAGAGACGTTTAAAATTCTCTTGGCCATTATTCATTTGACAAGATTTTATTGGCTGTAGTTATTCACTAGTTGATTAAAGGTAGTGGGTAATTGTTTGGAGCATTGGAGTTGCTGAAATCTGCTGTCAACATAATTTGTCCCACTGAAGTACCTAATGACAGATAGCAGGAGATTTGGAAGTAGCTGTTGATCAGAGGAAATCTGTTGGACAATAAATCCAAGTATCTAAGAATCAATACTAAAATCTCAAATAAGCAGAATCTGGAAGTGTTTCACACTTATATTCACTGTGTTATCTTGAATTCAGTCAGATGTTAACTCAGAACTATTTATTCTTCAAATAATCCTTAGAATTTGCCAATGTTGGATCAGTTGGTAGCACTCTCACCTCCAAGTCTGAAGATTGTGGATTCAAGCAGAATTGTGAGCTTTCAAATGCAGAGCTGGGAGAGCGCAGCATTGTCTCAGAGATATCATCCTTAAGATTAGACGTTAAGCCAAGGGTGCTATATAAATGCAAGTTGCTGTTATTATTTCTGTGATCAGTGTTTCTGGTACTATATATTGTATCTTAAAATTATGTGGGATCATCTTGAAATTCCCAAAAGGATGAGGCGTTCCCCTGATTCCCCACTATATTTCAATATTTCATATTTTTTGTGAGTCCTTGAAGTTGGGCAACAAAACAAAATCAAAACTCTGTCCAGAGTATATGAGGTTTCAGTTGATCAGCTAAAGTTTGACCGACTTCCCTTCATCCTGTTATGTTACAAACTGCAGAACTAGATTCTTTGAAGAGACAAAATCTTTTCATCAGCAGTTATTTCAAAACTATTGTATTACAGGGTGAAATTAATTGAGCTCTCACCACTATGTCCCTCCCCAGCTTTGCTTAATACTTAAATGTTGCCGTTTAAATACTGTGGACTTAATGAAACACAATGGGTATGTTTTTACAATATCTTTCAAATGTTAAAAAAATACTATATAATTATCGTTTTATATTGTCCAAATTGCTTCAAAACATAAAATTAAAGATGATACATAGAGTTTGTTTATTGTCTTCAGTGAAGGAATGTGTTTCAGATTTATATGTTTGGACTTTGGATAGCTTTTGACAAGAAGGCAGAGAAACATATACAATGTATCATTACTAACACTGGGGTAAGAAATGAGGTATACAATGTGATAAATAACACATTATATACTATTCCTTTCTTCCAATAAATGAAAAATATATCAACATTTCAATTTTCCTACAGCTGGCAAAATCTCACAATTACAGTGAGTATAATAATGTTTGCATTTGATAAATGCATTATCACACAGTCGAAACATCTCAAAGAGCTTTGCAGAATTTAACATAAGGTGGACTGACTGTATATTTGTAGGTGAAGGATATCCGTTAAACTGACCCCAAAGACGAGCAAAATATAGAGTTACAGAGAATCCTTTGTGGTTGCGATCCTCAATGAGAAGTTTTGAAGTTACAACAAAGAGCAGCATACTCAGCTTCCGAACCAGCACACGCTTCATTGTGCTGAGACAGATTCTCAACCAACAAACAGAATTATGTTGGCGTCATAAATCGTAACACATTAATCATTTGGCAATCATACAATTAAATGAGAATGTTCATTTTTTCAAATATGTTTGCTTATCCATTGCCTACCTTGCTCTGGTAAAGTCATAGTCTATTAAGTGAACTACCTTCAGAGCTGGACTTAATGTTTAATGAAAACTATTGCATGTAAAATGAATATAAAAGATGTGTTGAAAGCATCTGTTGATGTATACTGCAGTGGATTTTGAGTAGTTGTGATATAATCATAATAGCTCTAATATTGATTTTGTTTGTCATAAGTTGCTCTACTAAGTGCTCCAAGATGCTACTCATGTGAATTGTGCTGTATTGTTCATTCACTTCATGACTGTTTGTGAGACATTGCTACACAGAAATTGACTGTTACATTTGCTTACCAATACAGTCGGTGTACTTTATCGCAAATTCTGTGAAGTGCTTCCAGAAACTTTGATGATGTGATAAGGCATTCTATTAAATGCAAGGATTATTATTATTAACACTAATATTAATTGGCAGTTTATCTAATCTCCAGATTTCTATTACAATTCCCAATTTTGCACATTGACCTTAAAAAATTCAACAGACATTGGGTCAAGCACAAGAAAATGTATATTTTTAGGTGTAATTTTTCAAGGCTTCCCAGGGAAATAATACCACGGCTCCTCCCTAGAAGAATTTCCTTTCCACAGTGGCTCGTTCACTTTTTCTTATCCCGACTACACCCTTGTGTACAGCTTGCAGTGAGTTGCCAGTTACATCTAATGTGGAAACTATTGTTGGTAAGCTTCCATTAACTGCAAATAATGGATCATTGAAGTGGCACTCATAGAACAAGTTTTGCAAAACAATGATAAAACTTGTGTTGTCAAAAAATCAACTTGAATCCAGATTCGGAGGAAGTTTTGATCATTTTGTTCTATGCGTTCCTGAGCACACCTATAAAATTGTCTCATGTACATGTGTTTTCTCTGTTATTACCATAAATTAACTAGATGTTTTGATTTATAGGCACAGGGAGCTTCTCTTCTCAGCCTTACCTCTCCATCCAAAATAACGTTCATGTTATCAATGCTAATGACACATTTATAATCACATGCAGGTAAGAAAAGGGTCTAAATTTTACATAAAATAAATGTTTGTGTATAACACCTAATCTCTAATTTATGGTTGACTTTTTATATGTATATTTATGCATGTTTATCTATTGATTTAACTGTTTATAGTACATTATCTATCTATCAGCTATCAACAGAATAAACCTTACTATTCATAATTTAGTTAATCAGTGTTCAGCTTTCATCAATGTCTCCAATAGAAACCCACTCAACATTCAAGCTGTTCACAAGTCTGTATTCAAACATGTCTAGATTGAACATCAGTTGGGACAAACAGTTATGTTCATTTTGGGGTATTTTTGAGTATTTTCACAATCCCATCCAGTGGCATTTCACAGCAATGAACTACTTGGAGTCCATAATTGGTGCTGCATTGCATTTGTACTGACAGAAACACCATACAAACACCAAATTAACCAATTTGTTCAAGCCACTTCACTGGATTCAAAATTCAAGTTCAAAATCCACATTTAACATAACGTATTGAATTTGTTTGCTAAAACATGCTGCCAGGATGTGTTCAAACTGTATTTGCATAAACTATTGAACTGATAATAAGGCAACACATTGAAATGACTCCCAGTTGAGATTTTCTTCAATTTTCTGCTGAGTGACTGAGTATGTATCTCACAGAGTCGAACATGCCAGTGTGGATCAATAGTACAATACATCCTGAAGCCAGCTAACCTGCGAGTGATAATGTAATTCCACAAATAAAAAAAAGTTCTATAAAATGTTATGTTTTGAAATTTTAAATATTGTCTTCTTTGCATGTTTCCATATTTACACAGGAGTCAAGTTATAATAAATAGATAAATGCACCAACTTCCAATACGCACAAATAACTGTTTCACATTCAGAAATCTTGCAATACTATGGTTGAAATAATCTATGTGTAATTATTTCAATTTTTTCAATTTCAGTCAAAACTTAAAAAGCATAACCAGAGCAACAGAAATAGGCTTAGTGCCATGATTTGTTCTGGTCACTGTGTTTTAATCATTTTAAGAAACCTCAATAAACTCAAGTGGAGAATGTCAGTAAAATGATAATATAAAACAGTATTTACCTACGTCTCCTTGTTAAAATGGTTGTTTATTATTAAGACCTGTTGAAACTGTGCACATTTGAAAAAAAACATATTTAGCAGGTCTGCATTTCTAATTGAGAGCATTGGCTTGTCAATGTTTGCTCCAGGGGACACAGGCCTTTGCAATGGTCATGGCCAAAAAATCACAGTCGAATGGAGCACAGGATATCAATGATTGACTGCAGCAATGGGACATTGTTTTGTAAAAAATTTATGGTGACAAAAACCATCGCAAATGACACTGGAATGTATCAGTGTTCCTACAAGAACTCCTCAGACCAAACAGCTGCAAGTATCTATGTCTTTGTCCAAGGTAAGAAAATCATTGTTTATGTATAAAAGGTTTTGACTTATGTTTTTTGAAAAGAACACTATCTTCTGCTCACATTCTGGAAAACAATAAATATTTCCACTTTAAACATGTTCTGGTTTAATCCCTCAGATGTTACTGTGTAAATATTCTAGTTTACACAATGCAATGATTATTATTAATGTAAGAGGCAAACAATAAAGAAAATATGAGAACCAACAACCATTTGATTTTAGCACCAGTTACTGACCAGCATCCCTCAAGTAAAAGTGGGAGGAATATCAAATCAATTCTATTTAGCATATGCAAATCACAAGTAGTTTCACTTTAAACTGCATTTTGTCCAGCATTTGCATTTATTCTTTTCTGCTCTTTGATCCCACGCCAGTACTTCTTTTGTGGTAGCAGATAGATTCTTATCAGAGCCTGTACAAATGATCACCCAAGCTGCAACTGGGCCAGCACGCCACATTAAAGCTCACCACATGCTGAGACTAACCTCCGTAGGGTTCCTGTTTACCAGCTTCCAAAGCAATGTGGTTAAGTGCAGAAATGCCTGCAGCATTTCCTTCTGTCTTACTAATCAACTGGGGCTAGAATGAGAAAACACACTAATTTCCTGATTGTTATCCGTGACGCAGTTTATTTTACGTTGTTAATGCTATTTTACTTTGGATAACCATAGATCAGCCTCAAATAATAATTGTACAGTACAGGGCACCAAATGTTCCAGACCAGACGTAACCTTCGAATATACTTTTGAAGAACATGCCAGCTATTTTATAGCATTTCAAGACGTAGATGTCTATTTTAAAGCCAGGGTCTCATTCATAACCAATACCACTGACATACTAGCTATTTTATAACATCACTTATTTCAAAAGTGGGTATGTTTGTTTTTGACTGTGGTTTGGAAAGATATTTCTGAGTTTATGCGTATCGTTTGCAGCAGTAATAAGGAATGTCTTTGTATTCTACACAGTGAATTAAATCTGGGAGCTCCTGTTTTCAATTCGCCCTGAAGCTTTGGAACTCTCTCCCCCAATCCCCCCGCCTTGTACTCTCCTTCCCCTCTTTTAGATCACAACTGAAGACCTTGCTCTTATGGTCATCTCCTCCCTCGTCCCCGCTGGGTCCTAATCCCTGACTATTCAGTGCCTTGGGTCATCCTCTCAACGTGAAAGGCGCTTTACAAATGTAATTTTGTATTGTAAACCTTGGATGTGATGCTCCTTCAATTTCCTGGTTTGTAACTTTGCTGGTTATTGATATAGGAAATCGTGATGGTGCATTCAAGTATTTGATTTTTTCATGTTGCACTGGAATTTATAGGACGCGCAGTAAATACAAAAGGATTTATTATTGTTAAAAAAGCTCCAAGTCTTCAGTTTGACTCTTGGCACAAAGTTTCCCACAGAAACCTTTTAATTAAATTTGTCTTGGCACAAATTCATTTTATATCCAATAATAAATAATATAGTAATAACCTTTGCATTTGATATAGTGATGTATCACATTGTTGAGGTGTTTCGAAGTGCTTCAAATGATTTTGCTGTAAAGTTCAGTGACTGTGTATTTCAAAGGCAAATGCTACATATAAAGAGACTCCAGCTTTTCAGCTCTTGTTGAACCTTTGTGATCAATTGACCACAGCTTTAAACTCTTGTGTATGCTAAAGTTATAGGGATGTGAAATTAGATAACTAAACAATTGCAAAATATAAAGCCAACTTAGTTTGGCATGCTTGTCACTGACTGACCTCCGTTGAATAATGTGAATAGTGTTTCAATAAAATTCTGAGAAAAAAGGGAAAATAATAATTTCAAATAGTGCCATGAATCTTTAATATCCACTGAAACAGATATATGGGACCTCGGTTCCAATACAGGAAATGCGGTCCTTTGGATGAGATGTTCGTCGGAGGTCCCATCTGATTTGCCTGTTCAGGTGGACACTATTGACACTATTCAAAACGGGAAGGGAGTTTCTCTCAGCGTTCCGGCCAATAATTCCCCACAGATTAAAAATTGGTCATTCACTTCTTAGCTGTTTGTGGGACATTGCTGTGCGCAATTGGCTGCCGCGTTTGCCCACAAATATACAGTCAATTCACTTTACAGTATATTCTGTGAAGCGCTTTGGGACGTCTAGAAGACGTGAAAAGCGCTATATCAAATGCAAGGATTATTATTATTACAATTACACAGTAACTGCACTTGATGGTAAAATTCTGTGAAGCACTTTGAGATGTTTTGATAAGGCACAAATGCAAGGATTATTTACAGTATTCTCATCAAAGGATGGCATTTCTGACAATGCAGCACTGCCTCAAAATTATGCTGGAGTTTCAGCCTAGACCCTAAGCTCAAAGTTTTGACATGGGGCTTGAACCTTCAACCTTCTGAGTCTGAGACTACCAGCTGAGCCAGGCTATATGTCAGATAGTTTGAGTGGATGAGTGATGGATTTCTTTGTCATCATAGTCTGCATTTCTACTACTAAAATGATGCAAGTTAGACCTGCTGATTGTTTTTCCCCTGAGACAAATTATTGCACTACCACAAGACGATACAAGTAACAGTCCAGGAATGAAATGGTAAAATATGGCCCTTGAATTACTAAGTGAAACATCAGTCAGGGCTAATCTTAAACTATGGACCCTGTAGTTGCTAAGATATCCCAGAAACAAGTACACCTGCTGCTGACATCTTACCATATACACTTACTGGTAGAAGAATCCTGCTTGTATCATCTTCAAAGAATTGAGTCAGTAATGGCAAAGGAGTTAAAAGATGATTCCTTCAAGATTCTCGCTATAAGCATCATGTTCAACGTTTGTAGTTGTTGAATCCCTGAAAGTTCTAACAGGTTATTTCCTTGTTTGTGTTTTAGACTATCAAGCACCCTTTGTGAATCCTGATAAACCAGAAGTCTTATACATTTCACATAGGAATGATCTGGTATTAGAAAACAAGACCATTCCATGCCAGGTTTCCATACCGAATCTTAATGTGACGTTACTTATAGTAAGTATCTTTGCTTATCTGTGTTACTACACTGCAACTTGTGTATTTTAGATTAAAAATGGAGCATTTTCTTAGGAACTTAGATAGGTACCTAAAAAGGAAGAATTTGCAGGGCTATGAAGTAAGAGCAGGGTCGTGGACTCATTGGTAGCTCTTTCAAAGAGCCAGCACAAGCACGATAGGCCGAATGACCTCGTGTAAAAGTGCTGTAAAATTCTATGATTCTTATGAAATGCCAGTACAGTATTGTAATTGTTTGAATCTGCAATCAGAAGATAGTGAGTAAGCTCTCTTCTACTTGCGGGATTCAAACTGAGTAAAGTCAATATCCCTGACCACTGTAGGCCAGCAGGAATGGTGAGGTGGGGGGGCACATGCTAGGAGCGGTGGGCCGGTGTTAGTCTAAACATGTGTGTTTTTCCATTTCGGGTCCTGTCTAGATACCCGGAATCTGGTCAGCTGAGAGTTTACTGTACATGTCTTGCATGCTTTTACAAATGGCGTCTGTCTGTGTAAAGCACTTGAGGAATAATTGGACATATTTTCTCAAATATTTTGAAAATCTAGAATGTTTAGTTTTGGGGCTGATCTTGTCTTCTGATATAGCTGCCAATTTAGGTTATTTAATAGAATCTCTGGAAGAACTTACATTTATTTGATAAATGAGCATAGTGGGTCATCTGAATAAGAGTTATAATTTGTGTTAATACTTTTGAATGTTTTAGTTAATTAAATCATTCCTATTCAATACTATTTAAAACAGAATTACCCTGATAAACACATTGTTCCTGATGGAGTGACAACATTTTGGGACAATCAGAAGGGTTTCACCATTCCGAGGCAGATGATCATCAATGCAGGATTGGCGCGGTGTGAAACAACAATAGATGGAAACAAGTATCAGTCTAATATGTATGTGTTGGCAGTTATAGGTAAGGAACATATTAGATCTCACCAAAATCTGCTTCATTGATCACCTCATTCCTTGCCAAGCTCCACCGTCTCCCTGTGGATCAATTTCAAGGTCCTCATCCTCACCTTTAATTTCCTTCACTGCCGAGGATCTTATCTCTCTGATATGCTACGCCTGATTTACTAGCTGCCTAACACAGCACAGGTCCATTTTCGTAACACACCCATTATAAACAGGATCTGATTTTATGGAAACCGGCCACTGCGCTATACTTGGGGCTGACTGTATGCTTTCCTTACAATATATTTGTTTTTGGCATATTTTTATGCTCAAGCGGCATGTAATTAGAATATAAAAATAAGGACTTCTTTGAAAGTCTCATGAGAACATTCTGGCATATCCCGCAAATAGTTTATTTTAATGAAAATGGTAAAAACAGCTTTTTGTACTGAAGACCTTCCTCATTAGCCAAGCTTATATCTGTGCCTCTGTCTGAAACCTTTACAGGCCACTGGTTGTACTGAGATAAAAGTCAGCCAGTTTACAATGTTCCTCACAATGGGGCTACCCAACTCCCTGATAGCACAGCTAGAGAAAGTTGGATATCACCTTATTAAGGTCTGAAGTTAAGCAATCTGATTACCTGCTGGGACAGGGCTTCAGGCTGGGAGAATGTTTATATTATTCTGTCTCCAGTCTTGTCAACAGGAAACCCACTATCCTTCAGTACATAATTGGGCAGCTGTTACACACCTGATTTAGCTCTGGTAAATCCATACTGGATTTATGCAGGCATGAAATTAATATTGGAACTGGTTCTCTTATGTCTGAAAACGTATTTATACCTCTTTCCTCATCAATTATTCTCTTTGAGTTTCTCCTTGGAACAAACTTAGTATTAGTGTAAATCAATTGGCACAAAATACTTAGGTATTGTTCTCGCTGGAGAAGAGAAGATTGAGAGGTGATTGCAGTTTCTAAGATTGCAGTTTCTAAGATTCTAAAGGGACTGCATTTGCATTTTTTTTGATATAGCGCCTTATCACATCTTCGAGCCGTTTCAAAGCGCTTCACATAACATACTGTAAAGTGAATTGACTGGATTTTGTGGGTGAAATGGACTGGATAATATAGACCATGATAAGCTGTTTTAACTTTTCCAGAGCAGTAGAACTAGAAGTCTTGGCGTACTATTTAATAGGGACAATTCAAAACAATTCTGTGGAAACACTATTTCAGTGAGTAGTAAATCTATGGAACAGATTAGCTAGGTATATAGTTTGGGACACGACATGTACATGCGACTGCTAAGATGGTGAAAGGCGAACTGGATGGACCTTGGTCTTCTTTCGTCTAGTAATTTTTATAATCATATGTTTGTTTTCACTCCTGTAGGAACTGAGATTCGTGAGCTGACACTAAACCCTCAGCCCTCAGTGGAGCTGGCTGTAGGGGAACGCTTGATACTTAACTGCACTGCCAGAACTGAACTCAATGTCAGATTGGAGTTTAAATGGAAATATCCTGGAATGGAGGTAAAAAAGATAAAAATCTTGAGACCCTATTTTGGAAACACATATTTTTATTGTTCGGGACAACTCTATATAATGGTTAGAATATCTTTACCCTCTTCATTACATAAATAAGCAGTTGGTGTTTCACTGCAAAGCACTCCCAAGGGTTGTCCAGTTCTGACGAACTGTCATGGACCTGAAACGTTGACTCACTTTCCTTTCTCTATAGATGCTGCCTGATCTGCTGAGTGTTCCCAGCAACTTCTGTTTTTGTTTCTTTAGTTAAAGAGGTTGAGGTTGGGACGTCCTCCTGACGTGAAAGGCGCTTTATAAATGGAATCTTGTTGTTGTTGTTGTTGAGATGGGCATTAAAGATCGCATGGTACTATTTAAAAAGAGAAAGTAGTTTCTCCCGGTGTCCTGCCCAACAATCCCCAGTTTAAAATTCACTTAATGACTGTTCATGGGACTTTGCTATGCATAAATTGGTTTCCACATTTGCGCACAAAATACACAGTCACTACACTTTATAGTAAATCATGTGAAGCGCTTTGAGATGTCCTCCCAACATGAAAGACGCTATATCAAATAATAATAATGCAATAATTATTATTATTTATGCTGTTGTTACTGTGGAAAATGTTCAGTCGATTCTACACCTTGTATTATTTGATCTTTATGGAAACATGACATAAACTTTTATTTACAGCAGGACACTGATGTAGAAATTAAACCAAATAAACGAAAACTAGAAAACGAGCTGGAACTCTCAAACGTCTTTATTAAAGAAAATGTGACAAGAGGTCACAGTGGCAAATATTACTGTAAAGCTTCAAGTGGGATGATGGTAAAGGAGAACAGCACTAATGTGATCATCCATGGTGAGCTCTTATTTTAAGTATCACATTGCTCATCTTCAAATCACACCTGAAGACCTTTCTTTCCCTTTGACCACACCTTAAATCGCCTCCCTTCTCTTTCCAGTCAAACCACATCACTGTTAAGCACTCTGACATGCTACCCATGTGAAAGGGCACTATATAAATGCAAGTTGTTGTAGTTTCTAAACATATTTTTCTCCCCATCTGATGCAGTATTCATAGGAAACCCACATCTAGAAATCTATTCTTTGCTTGAACCCAATTTTAATGTCCACGATGGCAGTATTATGCAAAATGATACTAGTTTAATCTCAGTTTAAAAGTCTGCTCTTTGAATATTTAGTGAAGCATCCACGTCATGTTAGAAAAGTGTTTCTGTATTTTGCACATTCAGAAATGTGCAAAATAATTTTTCCATGTTGTAATGACTGTTTCACAACTCTTCCACAGTGCTGTTCACACACTCCAACTGTGCTTTAAAATCTGTTTTCCTGGTTCAAAAACCTAGAAGAATGTTGTCTTACACCAACCCTTCACTTCTCATGCTGTTCACAGTCTCCCAAGCCTCATGTTTTCAATGGGAAGATTATGGTTTTGGATCTGACTTTGTTTCATTATTTGTTTTCAGAGAAACCTTTCATCTTTATAGATCACACAGTTGGAACTATCATTGAGACGGTGGTGGGAGTACGGAATGTCACAATCCCACTGAAGGTTTTGGCCTATCCCCAACCAAAGATTAAATGGTAATTGGCTAAATGAATTACTGTAGCATCAAGGGATAAGCAAACCTGCTGTGTCTTTTATTCTGCAGGAATATTTCATTGCAAAATAAAAGTACAGTATTTGTGTATTTGATTTCAATCTAAGTTTCATTTCCAAAAATAATTTGGAAAGCTAATCATACACAGTACTACAATTTTCAGTATGGAGTAACCATTATTTATATTTATGGTAGGAAACTTAGAAAAACAGGAAGAGCCATTCAGCTGATCGAGTCTGTTCTGCCCATTTATTAAATATTGGCTGATCTTTAATCCCATTTCCCTGGCCCTTCGCAATAACCCTTAATATTTTATTACTCTGTATAACTGACATTAACTACATTGATTTGTTCATAAATTGACATTGAAAATTAGAATACTTGGATAATAAGAATACTGAACCAGATAGACTGCATTGATTAATTGTATAACACGACTATATTTCACCAAGTTTTGGAGTAATTTTCAATGAAGTTCCAATTGCTGGTGAAGTAACTACCATGAAGTAACTTCTCCTGTGTTGCTCAAGGACCAAGAATGGAAGGCCACTTAGCAAGTATCAAACACATGACAGATTAAAGGAAAAAGACCTCAAGTACACACTGATGATCAGAGATGTGACTAAAGAAGATGCTGGGAATTACACCATTCAACTTAAGAATCCAATAACAAAAGAAGAGCAGAGTCATACGATTCAACTTATAGTAAATGGTAAGAAGCCTATTTTTACATTGGTCTACATACAAGGTGTCCACAAAATCGTCTTACCCCCTCCCCGCCCCACCCAGTTAGAATTGATATGAGACTACAGAGGGGTAGAAACAAACAGCCATGAAACAAGCTGTCAGTGATGTATTTCACCGTGTCACTCCTTCCATCTTATGGAAGATGTCGCACTGAACATGCCGACCCATCATTATCTGCTGTGAAAATGATGGCGCTCACACACACCAATCCTCTGGACAACTGGACAACTAAGTACAATTAAACACTTGTACTAAATACAATTAAGTACTTCTATATACAATTTAGAAGTTTTGCCCACAAAATATGCAATCATTTCACTTTACAAATTATTTTGTGAAGCGCTTTGAGACACCTATGAGACATGATAACACAATACAGTAAATGCAAGGATTATTATTATTATTATTACACTTACCATCATTCTTCCACATGTTTCAGTTGTTAGTCAGTGCAATGTAGAAAAAAAAACAGGGGTACCAGGACTTTATAATAATAATAATAATAATAATCCTTGCATTTGATATAGCGCTTTTCAAGTCGGGAGGACGTCCCAAAGCGCTTCACAGAACACACTGTAAAGTGAATTGACTGTATATTTGTGGGCGAACACGGCAGCCAATTGCGCACAGCAATGTCCCACAAACAGTCGTAGATTGAAAATGACCAATTTATTATTGTTTTGTTTTTTGGAGGGATTATTATTAGGCTCTGTGTGGAGTAAAGAAACTTGCCCAAGGTTTCGCCCTGCCTGGAATTGAACTCGGGTCCCTCACTTGCAAAGCGAGTGCTCTAACCACTGAGCTACAGGACTCCAGGACACCTTATGGAAACCCTGTGCAATAGAGGTTACAACTTTAGGAGCATATTGAGCTATTTTTCACAATTGTGCATTTGTACTGCTTTTAAATATGTGGAGGCTCATCACATTGACTTCCCAATTTGATTTGCCAGGTGAAGTGGAGTACACTTTTTACAGCAACACTCAACGGCTTGGAAACATTAACTATAACCTAAAGGGTTCATATAAATACTTTGACGGCCTGAAATTTCTCAGGATTTTGTTTTAGAATGTTCGATTGTGCTGAAATTGATTCGGAAAATTCTTGAGCTGTAAAATCTCAAACTGAAAGCATTTTTTTCCATTGTTATTTTTAAGAACCAGGTAAACGTCAGCTTACGCCTTATCTTGAAGATGTGATAAGGTGCCATACCAAATGCAAGGATTATTATTATTACACATAAATACTGAATTTGAGAATTTCCCAAATTTCTGCACAATCTTAAATTTTAAGATAAGGCTAAAACAGTGAGAAATTTCAGAAAGTGTGAATGTTTATGATATGCAGCGAATACTACTACTAATAATAATTCTGGCATTTTATATAGTACCTCATCACGTCTTCAAGACCGTCTCAAAACATTTCGCAAAATATACTGTAAAGTGAATTGACTGTACATTTTGTGGATGAAGATATTCCAGGTCCGAAAATGGTTGCCTGGCCCATGTAAAGATTTTGGATTTTTTGACGACTCCTTGACTCAATATTTATGTCTCAGCTGCAATTTAAACCCAATATCTTGTATTCCACAAGACATTGGGTTTAAAATGAAATACCATTTAATATACATGAATATTTTTTATAGCTAATTTCCTGTGTCTGTGAGTACAGTGCACAAAATGAGTCCAAACAAACTGTATTTGGGAAATGTATCTATGAGAACGAATGTTTTCTGTGAATGTCATTCTAATATTTGACTTCTTGGCAGTTCCCCCCCAAATTCTCGAAAAAGGAATGCCTTCACACACTGACTACAACTATGGAAGCAGACAAACTCTGATCTGTACTGTGGATGGCATTCCTGCACCCACAGAGATTCTCTGGGAATGGCATCCAGTGGAGAACTGTTCTTTCGATTACCCGTAAGTAACTGTAGATATTTCTCTAGTAATAATGAGACTTAATGAATGAGATGAACCATGCCCCACACCAAACTGACTGTGTATTATATACTGTATATATATATACATATATATATATAAAAAACGCTTTGGGATGCTACTTCTCATGAAGGGCGCTATGTAGATGCAAGTTGTTGTTATTGTAGGGACCGAAGGGACCATGGAAACTCTATTCCACAGTCCCTTTGCCTCGCTTCCTCCCTCGCCTCCTTCGAGGCCGGTTTCAAGACCCTTCTCTTCGATTGTGCCTTTGGTCTCACTCCCACCTCTCTGTCTTCCCTCACCCCTACACCACCCCTTCCCCATGCTCGGGTCCTGACCCCTGACTGTTCAGCGCTTTGGGACGTCCTCCCGATGTGAAAGGCGCTCTATAAATGTAATTTTGTTGTTGTTAATTGTCAATCAGCTTGACCACACACCATAGAGTGCTCATGTAAGCTGAAACGTGGGGTTTCACATTTCCCATTTATCAGACACAAACTTTCATAATTATTCCATACGTGTTTTTTGCCTCAAAAGGAAAATAAGGTTGCAAAGTGACTTAAGGCTTACAATATACAATACACAAAACAAAGGTGTAAAAGTCCTTACAGCTCACTTTATTAAATAAAGATTATAAACTTTGACTTTGATATAAGAATGAAATAGAAAGCCTATATAATTCAGTGAGGAACATCAGACATATGTAAGCACGCTTACTGACCAGACGTTGATATAGAGGCTGCTCTGTTTCCTCCTGCATCCGTGGGATACATGACCAATGTTTCAGTTATTACCAGCTTGTAAAACAGTCACCTATGTAAAGCAATTGAAAGTAAAACAAACTGATGGCGTATTATCTGCCCAAAATGTACCCATCATAGAAGTATGCTGATTGATATTCAGAGTGAATGCCCAAGCCCATTAGGCCTCTCTTATCTTGGCCCAGCAGAAGATCCGGTTCACTTCCTGCATGTCAATCCTGGGCAATCTGCTTTCCTGTTGTTGGTTTGGTCACTAACTTCCATTAAATTGTTCCTCAGCCACCTCCATTGTTTTCCCTTCCCAATCACGGATGCAAGCATCTCATTGAGAACTGCAGAGATTTCTCTGTCTCCTTATCTTCCTTGAAGTGTCTCTGGCCACAAAACTAATTTGTCAAAGAGCTTTGTTTCCCAAAATAGAGACTTCCTGCTAGCATCCTAACTGGGAATCACATAAGAAGTTTAAATAATATTTTCATTTTATTCTTCCATTTATATTTTGCTTATGAATGAAAGGACCATTGCCTGCATGAAAAATACTATTTAAATACTATTGTTTATTCAAAATCAGCCCATGTCTACGTAATGCTTCCCTTACATCATTGAACCATTTGTAAAAAAAGTATGCTTAAAAAATCAATGAGCTGTCCACCTTTAATAATCTGATATGAATCCTTTTCTTGACAGCAAATCTTGCTGTCTGTCAGCTGATTGTTTCTGAGGTGAAAAATTCACAACTTACAAACTGGTTTTAAGCCCTTAATTGTGACTTCACAACGGGAATTGCAGTGAGAAGCAAAAACTGTGTATCCCAAACCAGCAATGTCAGTAGCAAGAACAAGAAACACTGGCAAAAAGCTCTATTCTGTTTTCAGAATAGTACCCTGAAGCTTATTGGCTGGTACAAGGGCATTGCGTTTTTTAAGGAGGAACTGGTTCTTTAATAACATTAATATCTACCACGTACTATTCGGGTTCTGCACGTGCACTTTGCGAATATTCTGAACTGTACTTAGCTCTGGCAATGGGGAGGGTAGATCAGTCTTCCTGCTTCATATTGCTTTAACTCTGGAAACAACATTGCTTTGCCTCCAAAAGGATGAAGTGGACCCCAGTCTCACTTTCACTCAAATACACTCCCAAATATATATTTTAAACTTGTAGTTGAAAGCTCAGAGCTTTAAAATATGGAAAGGTGATCTATAGAAGATAAACTGATTTGTATTTCTTTTGAATAGCAGTCACAAGGAGTCTGAAACACCTGGTGCATCCTCTGACCGCAGACACTGGAGGAATATTGCAAACAATGATGGAGGCAACAGGATTGAAAGTAACCGAACTGTTTTCGATGCAGGGATCAAAAAGGTGAATTTAACACTGATAAATGTGACTAAACAGACACTATAAGTATTAAAAATAGAAGTCACTGGGAACTCTCAGCAGGTCAGGCAGCATCTATGGCCCAATGAGCCACACCTTTTCTCTCTCTGGTCTGCTTATTTTGTTGCAATTTCTCCCCCTTTTGTTTTGCAACATTAATACCTCTTTAATCCATCATCCTCTGTCCTCTACCCCCATTTTCTCCATTGTCTTCCTTGCCCTGTCTCCCCCTTCTCTGTTAGCCCTTAAAAGCCTCTCCCTCCCAACATGCCCCAGTTCTGATGAAGGGTCATGGACCTAAAACATTGACTTACTTTCCTTTCTCCATAGATGCTGCCTGACCTGCTGAGTGTTCCCAGGGCTTCTGTTTTTGTTTCAGATTTCCAGCATCTTCAGTATTTTGCATTTTGATTATATGTATTAAATATGACTAGCATTACATTAATACTATACAGTTCTTAAAGGAAACTATAACATATAACTATCAGAGTAGCAATTTCAGGTGAGAGTAGGCCATCAAATCATCTAGTCAACCCATTCGATTTCCTACTCAAGTCTCCTGATGTATTAAGCTTGAAATCTAAAAATCCTAAATGTTTTTAGTTGTCAGAAACTTGTCTAGTTCCTTTTTGAAATGCTATGCAGTTTCTTGTTCCACAATCTGTGCTCAGAGTTTGTTTCAAATACTTATTAGGCTTTTACTAAACAAAGTCTCCTGCATTTCCTATTCTCTTTCATTGTCTTTATTTTGAAGATATGACCTTCAGAGTGGCAGAAAATCATATCCAAAAATGATGTGTTTAAATTCATATCTGTAAATTGCATCATGCAACTGTTTAGATCTGTGTGTTTGAATTACTTAATTTACTTTATCAAATTAGACTAAACAAATTAAACAATTAGACTAGGTGAGAGAGGTCTATGTTGGGCTGAGATAGCTTCAAGGTCATGGGCCTGGCAATGGAATATCAGAATCGAATTAATTTTCTGCTACTACCTCAGAAGCTGGATCTGTTTCTGAGTCAGGCAGGTCCACAGGACTCCAATGCACTGTTGATGGCAGACTAGCCTGGGTTGTTGGTAGGCCGTGGAGGGTTCAGACCAGTCACTGGGAAAAGGGATTCTTTCCACTTAGTTCCTGTTGACCGTGCAAGCCAAAGTACTAACATAAATTTCAATGTATATATGGAACTCACTTTGGTGACTATTAAGCACAGTAACTGACCCAAAATAAAAAAAATCTTTACTCAGTTGAATGCATTTTAAAATTTACGTGTACCTTCTTTTTCTCCCTGATATTTTCTGGTAGATGGTCAGTTCGCTCATAATCCAGGCAGCGAATGTCTGTGCAATGTACAGATGCCGGGCTATTAACAAAGTGGGACAAGATGAGAGAGAGATCATCTTTCATGTAACCAGTAAGTACCGAAGAATGTCTGTCTCAGCTTCTCATTAAAACAAGTCCCATGGAGACTGAAAGAGCCTGGGCAGACTTGAACTTTGAGATCTGAGAACTGTATAATTACAAACAGTTAAAGAAGAACTTGTACGGTAAAAATGCAGCTGTTTCAGTTTGCTGTGAGTTAGCTATTTATTATGGGAGAAGAAGAATGGAAAACAAGTTGTTTGGCAATTAAGGCAATATCACTAATAAGCCAACTCACATTTTTGGATGGAAACAAAGCAATTGTAAAAAATGCAAACCTTGTATAATAAACCTATTTGAAAAATACATATAAATATATGAAATCTAAAGAATTGTGTGCCTTTGATGGCCCAGTCAGGAAAGGCACTGATCCATCCAAGCCAGAAGCCCCAGGTTAAATCCATAGTCCGTGCATATTTAGTTCATCCCTTCCCTAGGCTAAAGAGAGGAAACGGTCAGCCAGGCTTCCTGTTCTTTATCACTATCCAGTGATTTCAGCTAGGAAGTGCGTGAGTGTGTGGCTGCCTGTTGACCCTCACTCTGCACCCTGAGGCCACTTGGTGGAGGTAGCTGATGGTGCCTATAATTGTTTGTTTTCTTGAAATTGGCCAGCACATCTTATCAATGAGACTTGGAATTGTAGACATGTTCTGAAGGTTGTAAACCCTAATATATACAGCCAATACCAGTTGAGCAAATATCATGAAAAGTTACCAGAGATTTGTCCATTGTTTATCATTAAGTGGGGATCCTATGTATGGAGTATTTTGAATTGCTATTCATTCCCAAATAAATGTATGTTTGCACCTATTTTTTGCTATAAGGAACACAACATAGTTCCTCAGCTGAACCAATATTTCAGTTATCAAACCATGCTTGTTTGATACATGTCTACAATTCTAAGTCTCATTGATAAGATGTACTGGCCAATCTCAAGAAACCGAACAATTCTTATTAAAACATGCTCCTCCTCGCCTGAAACCTCTGACTCTTGCTGGGGAATGGCTGAACAGTGTTAGGTACCATGTTATTAATTGAGTAACCCATAATAGAAGTGTGCTTCCATTGTAGATATCCTGTGACTAGAATTGAAGTACATACAGTCACAACAAGTTTCTGTAAATGACTAACAATATCGAGCATGTGCGTAACGCACTTTATTGCTTGTCCAGCAATCCCATTGTTGTAGGGAAAGCTGGACTTCTTCAAAGTCAAGCAAGAATCCAGATAGACACAAGTAGGAGTTTCTCAATAATAAAGTCCTGTGCACTGCCTTTCCTTGTGACTCACAATTCCCTGAGTTTATTTTCTTTTATGAACCGTAAGTCGTATTAAACAGGAAAATAATTGTGTAAGGATGAATTTACTTTTTTTTCATAGTCTCAGTGGAATTTGGGTCATTTTTATTTAAGTAATTTCTTCCTGTTAGAATCCAGCATATGGACTGTACAGGAAGCTCTTCATTTCCTGCTTAAAAAACAATTTCACGCAACCTCACTAACGCTCAGTTTATGAAATGGAACAAAAGGGTTTTTTATTAGGGGTGAAAATGTGGTGTTGCAGTTATCACCACAACAACAACAACAAGATTCCATTTATAGAGCGCCTTTCACATCAGGAGGACGTCCCAAGGCGCTGTACAGTTGGGTCAGGACCCGAGCAGGGGGGAAATGGTCAGGGTGAGGGGAGGGAAGGGAGGGAGCGAGGAGGGGGGAAATGGTCAGGGTGAGGGGAGGGAAGGGAGGGAGCGAGGAGGGGGTAGAGAGTCGAGAGGGGAGCTGAAGGCACGGTCAAAGAGAAAGGTCTTGAGACCGGTCTTGAAGGAGGAAAGGGAGGAGGCAAGGAGAAGGCACTGGGGGATAGAGTTCCAGAGCCTAGGGGCTGAGGGGCTGAAGGCCCGGCCACCGATGGTAGGGCGGTTGGGGCGGGGGATGTGGAGCAGACCGGAGCCAGAGGAACGGAGGGTACGGGAGGTAGGTAGGGGGATAGTAGGTCAAAGAGGTAGGAGGGAGCGAGGCCGTGAATGGCCTTGTAGGTGAGGATGAGGATCTTGAATTCGATCCTCTGGGGGATGGGGAGCCAGTGGAGGCGATCGAGGGTGGGAGTGATGTGGTCGCGAAGCCTGGTGCGGGACAGTACACGAGCTGCAGAGTTCTGAATGACCTGCAGCTTGTGGAGGGAGGTGCCGGGAAGGCCGGCGAGGAGAGAGTTCCCCTAGTCCAGCCTTGAGGTGATAAAGATGTGGACCAGAGTTTCAGCAGCGTGAGGGGTGAGGTAGTGCCGTAGTCTGGCGATATTCCGAAGGTGATGGAAGGCGGTGCCAGTTGTGGCGCGGATATGAGGAAGAAAGGACAGCTCAGGGACGAACAGAACCCCGAGGTTCCTGACCGGCTTTGAGAGTTGGAGAGTGCAGACATGGATGCTAATGCTGTCAGCGCCTGAGGTGCGGAGTCACTGACGTGAGCCAATCAGGAGGGCCTCAGTTTTACGCACGTTGAGCTGAAGAAAGTTGTCTCTCGTCCAGGACTCGATGTCGGACAGGCAGGTTGTCAGGACATCGGTGGTCGTGGAGTTGAGGGTAGAGGAGGAAAGGTAGAGTTGGGTGTCATCCGCATACATGTGGAAGTTAACCCCATGTCTGAGAATGATGTCACCAAGGGGGAGCATATAGAGGGTGAAGAGGAGGGGACCGAGGACAGAGTCCTGAGGGACACCGCACGAGACAGTGCGGGGGCCGGAGGAAAAGCCATTCGTGGAAACAAAGTGAAGACGGTGGGAGAGGTACGACCTAAACCACTCAAGGACAGGGCCTTGAAGGTTGAGGTGGGAGGACAAGCGGTGGAGGAGGATAGCATGGTCGACCGTATTGAATGCTGCTGATAGGACGAGGAGGCAGAGGGAGCCCTGGTCACAGATGGTCAGGATGTCATTGGTGACCTTGACCAGGGCAGTTTCTGTGCTATGGGCAGCACGGAAACCCGATTGAAGGGGTTCGAATAATGAATGGGTGGAGAGGAAAGAGCGCAGCTGGGAGGCGGAAAACTCGTTCCAGGACCTTGGACAGGAAGGGGAGGTTGGAGATGGGCCGGTAGCTTGATAGCTGCGACGCATCAAGGGAGGGTTTTTTCAAGGTGGGAGTGATGGTGGCAGTTTTTAAGGGAATGGGAACAGAGCCAGAGGAGAGGGACAGGTTGATGATGTCTGTGATATGTGGGGCAAGGAGGTGGAGCTGGGAGATAAGGAGTGGAGTGGGGATGGGGTCAAGGGAGCAGGTGGTGGGTTTCAGGGATAGGATGAGTTTGGTGACAGAGGGTGGGAAAACGGGTACGAAAGTGTGTAGGGGAGGATGGGTAGGAGTTGGAGTGTGGGAGGGAGGGGGTGGGGGGTGGGTGGATGTTGGAGGGGAAGTGACCGCGGAGCGAATCCCCTTGATTTTGGATTCAAGGAAATCCAGCATCTCCTCGCAGTGAAGGTTGGAGGAGATGACCTGCGCGGGGTGGCGGGGGGGACGGAGGAGTCGGGATGTGGTAGAAAACAGAAGCCTGGGGTTGTTCTTCGCCTCCAGGATTATCCTGGAGTAGAAGGACGACTTGGCCGAGGCTAGAGTGGAGCGGTAGATTTTGAGGAGGTCCAGCCAGATTTGTCGGTGGACCGTTAGGTCAGATTTGACGCAGGTGCGTTCAGCGGCCCACACCTGGCTCTTCAGTGAGCGGAGGTGGGTGGTGAACCAGGGGGAGGAGCGAGAGTAGGAGACAGTACGGGAGGTGATGGGGGCAAGAGTATCAAGTGTGGAGGAGAGGATGTTGTGGAGGAGGGTGAGAGGAGAAGAGGGGTCACTGATAATTATTACCTGTGATCTTGAGGTGAAAGACATAATGTTTCATAATAGAAGCTGAATACTTTTTTGGCTCTGGCTCAAATATCTCTGGATCACAGAGCATGTATATCTGCAGCTAACATAGGACACCCGTCTTATCTCAACCAGCTTTTGCTCAGCAACAATCCATCATGGTTGAAACATTTTGAAAAGAGACCTTGGACCAAATCATTGTGCCAAAATTGGAGAAGTGGGGTGGGGCACGAGGTGGGTAGAGCCTAGGTTCAGATGGAATTTAATGTAATATCAGGTAGAAAAGCATCACATTTCATTGTCAGTTTACACAATAGCAGCTTAGCTCAATGTTTCAATGGCTGCTGGATTTGTGTGTGCTTACAAAAGCAACCAATCTACTTTTGAGGTGTATTTTGATGTGATAAAGCCACTACGAAAATTCAGGTACATTTTTCCTTAAACTGCCCAAACCCTCACTCTAGATCCCAGACTTCCTTAGAACATCCAATGCCAAAGACAATAGAGACGTCTGAACAGGGATAACATTGCCAATTCAAAAGTTCAATGTCTTCCAAATCGTTGCTCGCCGCCTTATAAAAGCACAAACAAAGAAAGCTAATGAAGAATTTATGTAACACTTTTAAATGTGGAAAACCGAAGGCAGTCTGTTACATTAAAGTAAATGCTCCCTTGAAGACTGTAAACTTACCAGAAGAAATAAATACAAAGTACCCTCTGCTTTTTCACATAAAACTCCAGTTTTTCAACTCTCCGATGCTTTTCAGCGTGATAAGATCCTGTAAAAGGCAAATTCTCAGTTTGGATGAAAGCGTGTCCTGTTTGAACTAAACAAGGCAAAGCCTAATTACTGGATACCTTAAAAGCTGAAGGTCCCAGGTGCAGTATATTGTTTCACCCTTTGGCAATGGTTCTGGACATTTCCTTTAACAACAGCTCTAATGTTTTGCCTACAAATATAATGGCTAGATTTTTGGATAAGCAGAAAGAGTTTTGATCAGACTCTTTATTTTGGACAATTTGACTCTCTGTGTCTGCTTGTGAACTTCATTTCTTTCTCAACCTTAGGTAAGAGAATAATGTATCTAAGATACTAAATAGAAATCAATAAATGAAAGCAATCAGATGCATACATTTTACAGTTTTTTTTTACTCAAGCTCTAAAATATTAAAATATTATCTACAAAGTATTTGTGTGTCCAAATTAAATAAATAATAATAATCATTGCATTTGATAAAGCACCTTTCTCATTGGTCGGACATCAGAAATGTTTCACAGGATTGACTGTGAAGTGTAGTGACTGCAACTGTATTTTATAGGCAAACTTTATTTAAAAGAAAATGTTGTACTGATTAACATTCAAGTAAAGAAAATTATCAAATTGAATCATGAAAATGAACAAATAAGAAAAAACGAAGTTGCATTTTTATAGTGTTTTATAGCATTTTTATGAATACATTGAACCTCTTTAGAATGCTTTAAGTAATTGATGTCATGTTTAGTGACTTTTGTTTGTAGGCAAAAGGTAAGTTATGCAAATATTGTTGATGGTTTCTGGATATGGTACTTGACATTTCAGAAGCTTGTAGTAGAATAAAGGATTTGTTTCTCAGAGAATAATGAAAGGGCTGTGCCTTTGATGTTTCAGAGGGACTTGAAATTAATCTACAGCCCACTGACAATCCAATTGAAAAGGACAATGTATCTCTTCAGTGTAGAGCCGACAGGTATATGTACGAAAACCTGAAGTGGTACAAGCTCCCCTCTTCAGTCCTCCAAAGCCATCATAGCAACACTTGCAAAAACTTGCATCACCATGCCCAAAAAATGACTACGGAAATGGTTTCCAATCTCAAGACAGAAAACATCACCATCAAACTGAGCTTTGAATCCGTGTCTCTTGAAGATCAAGGGATCTACCTTTGTGAAGCCCAGAATAAAAACACTGGTGACAAGTTCTGTATGATAAAGATCCTTTCTGTAAAAGGTAAGATAACTATAGACAATTTTACAATACTGGATGCCTCCAGAGAAGGCTTGCCTCAGAGATAAACTAATAGTGAAAAAGTACTAGAGTAGGAGATCATAATTAATTTGACTTTTTTTTCTCATTTTGGTAACAGCTCAACAGGCTCCACTAGTGCTTCAGAACCTGACAGACCAAATAGTGAACATGAGCTCCTCCATAGAAATGATGTGTGATGTGGTTGGTTCACCAAGTCCACGCATCATATGGTATAAAAATGGCAAGCAACTTCTGGAGGTCTCAGGTAGGACACTTCTATCTGCTCAATTTTATCCTTCCATCTGCAGATGTATTTAAAGGGATCGAACCAACCTCTCAAACTGTTGTGCAAGACAAAATTTCAGTTTTGTCAATCTATAAATGTCCAGCATAGGAGCACTCCTCAAGTTCATTACAATTTTCATAATGTTTTTAACAGATTCAAAATTTTGATCAACCTTGATCTTTGAAACTAATGAAAAACATTGTAAAATGTGAGATTTGCCCTTTAAGTAGGTAGAGTCTTGGAGCACTTTGCAGGAGTGATTTGGATACTAAGCAAGGGAGGGAAGGGGGAGGTAGTAACAGGCATGTTTGAAGATGTGGAATTTGAGGTAGAAGTTGAAAACAGACAGAGAGGAACCAAGACGGTGTGGTAAATGGAGGTGGGTTCAGAGGAGCATAGGGGGCAGGGGGGTCGGAACTGTAGGCTTGGGCAGCATGAGTGGTGCAGAGAGGGTTGGGACATGCAGAAAGCCAAATATAAATCTATATAACCATATTGCATAATTTGACATTTATAATAACTGCATAGTTTCTTTCGAACATAAACCGAAACACATTTACAAGCAAAATATAATAACGGTTTTAAAATAAGAAAATGCGAATGGGAATGTGATTACTGAAACTGGTATTTTACACATCATATTATCTCCTGCTTCTTGTCACGTTTGCCAGATTTGTAAATTCTTGAACTATGAAGAGTGGGAATCGGTGCCTGACTGGATGTGTCTGTGTGTCCTGACAGGTATTATTCTTGGGGAGTTCAACAGGACCTTGACTATCCAGCGGCTGAAGAAGGAAGATGAAGGGCTGTATAAATGCAAGGCTTGCAACAAGGTGGGATGTGTTGAGACATACGCTGCTGTTGCTGTAGAAGGTGAGAAAGCTACTAATGTGAAAAAACAGATTGATACATACAGATCCTGGCTAGAGTAATAAATTAATCCTGTTAACCCAAAAACTAATAAATTAGATATTCCCCACTGGACAAGCAGTGGGAAGCAGGTTGTCTGTGTTTTAGCTGGTTAAGTTCCAGCAATATCACAATGAACACTGTGGGGTTCCCAAGTCTCAGCTCTTGCCAACCTGTGACTGAATTCTCATGATCTGGGTAAGGGTGCATCTCAGTGCTCACAACATACCAGACACATGGAAATGGGTAAACTGTATCCCTTTGCCCTCAAATTCACCCCTTCACCCTAAAATGTTACCCCTCGCTCCAAAACATCACCCTTCCCAGTGGCAGACTGGGTGTATGGAAAATCGGGAAATTTCCCTTGATCAGTCCCTGAGCGTCCCTGTGAATGGCTGACGATGCTTACCAGCTCGTGCAGCCTAGTTCAGAAATTTCAATTAAGACCACAAAGTTTTTAATGCGTAAATACTTTTTGGCACCCCCACAAAAGAAGCCCTGTATGTGAATTGGCACCCCCCCATTTTATATTACAATCTCAAGCCCTTTTGGGGAACTGGTCCGCCACTGATCATTCACCCAAAATGTCAATCCTATGTAAACGTCGACCCACCTCTCAAAACTTCACCCTCTCATTAACTGCCAACATTATCATTTCCATCACCAACAGCACAGCACTCTATTCTTTCAACCAGAACGCAGTGAAGAAAGATCACTATTACACATTGTGCGTGTCTCCATATTGATTCTAAAAAGCACACAGCTGTCAGAACAGTAGCCTGGGGTTGGGTTGGTTTGAAAACAACAGAAAAGCTATGCAGTTGCAGCTACATATTATTTTCAATGTATACAGTGTTTTTCATGTTGATTTGATTTAAAAATAGCTAAAACTGCAAGCTAAATGAATTTGCAATCTAGGATCCATAGTGTCATGAAGAGAGTGACTTCATTACTGAAGTAAAATCGTTTTATTATATTTGCTTTATGGGTATTCATGAAGAGTTTATGTAAGTTTTATCATGTCTGCATTTGTCTGTTTCTATTTATCCTTTCGTAAATTCCTGCCTGTGGGCATATGCACTCTAACAAAACTGAAAAAACATCTTCTTCTATGCCAGGAGCTGAAGACAAAGCAAATCCAGAGCTCATTATCCTGATTGGCACCGGAGTGATCGCCATGTTCTTTTGGTTGCTTCTAATAATCATCATTCGAAACATAAAACGGGTAATTAAACAGTCCCATCATTGTTCCCTGAGTATTTACACAGTCTGACAAATGAAAACTGACTGTAGCCCCTTTATGATGATGACCGTGTCTTTGTGTTTAAAACAACAGGCACATTTTTCCTTTCATTCCATAACGCTCCTGCATGGTTTAACGAAGCACCGACTAATGCTTGTTAATTGGAAGTGCCATTCATGACAAAGGCTCTTGTTGTCCAGTGCTCGGGGCTGTCCTGACATATTACAATGAAATCTGAAGTAATTGCGAGTTAGGCATTGCATGCCCAACCTCGCTGGTGTGATGTGTGCTTTCATTTGTTTAATAACATTTAATTCTGGATCATTGATTGGTCAGTGTCCTTTGTCAACAATGGCTGATATTAACCTGACCGGGTTGTGAACACAGAGCAGGCAGTTAATACAACGCGATTTGCCACTGTTTTCCAGCCCAGTGATGCAGAACTGAAGGCAGGCTACCTGTCAATCATCATCGACCCAGATGAAGTACCGATGAACGAAAAGTGCGAACGTCTGTCATACGATGCTAGTAAATGGGAGTTTCCCAGGGACAGACTCAAGTTAGGTAAGAAATCCCCACTGCTCCCAATAAAATACAAAATTGCCATTGTAAAGCGCCTTTCACATTGGGAGGACGTCCCAAGACGCTGAACAGTCAGGGATTAGGATCCGAATGGGGGTGGGGATGGGGGGGCTTGGGATCAGGGAGGGTGGTGAGCAGTGAGGATAGGAAGGTGGCTGAAGGCATGGTCGAAGAGGAGGGTCCTGAGTGGTGCCTTGAAGGAGGCAAGGGAGGGAGCGAGGCAAAGGGAATGTGGGATGGAGTTCCAGAGGGTGGGGGCAGAGAGGTTGAAGACCTGACCGCCGATGGTGGGTTGGGCCGGACGGGGCACATGGAATAGGTCGGAGTCTGCTGAGTAGAGGGAACGGATAAGAGGTTGATAAGAGGTTAGCAGCTTGGTGAGGTAGGAGGGGGCAAGGCCATGGAGGGCCTTGACGATGAGAATGAGGATTTTGATCTCAATCCTCTGAGGGATGGGGAGCCAGTGAAGTCCGACGAGGTTGGGTGTGATGAGGTCACGGAACCTGGTGCAGGAGAGGACACGAGCTGCAGAGTTCTGGATGATCTGCAGCTTGTGGAGGGAAGAGTTGGGAAGGTTGACAAGCAGGATGTTGGCATAGTCAAGCCTGGATGCAATGAAAGCATGTATGAGGGATTGGTGATAGGAAGTAGCTTGGCATCTTCACATCATTGATAGCTTCTTAAAAACAATAGGAAAAACCCTCAAGTTTAATCATCAATTTGTACAAGACTAATAGCCTAAATTAAACTGGAATGCATCCTGCTCTTTGCAAATAATTCAAAACTATTTTGACATATTTTTATGGTGGGTACACAATAAAACACTATTTCAGAATGCTGTAGAACATATATCGCTAGCATATAATCAGAAAATACTGTACCATAAAATCTGGTGGTGTTAAGGTTCTTCAGATGGAAACAATCGCTGTTTCTGTAAGAACAGAATAATAGTTTGCCTACAAATACACACTCACTACATTGCACAGAAACACTCTATGAAGCACTTTGAGAAGTTTCGACGTGATAAGGTGCTATAACAAATGTAAGGATTTATTATTTGTTACTAGAATTCCAACGATATAATAGCTGTAGCTCTATCACAATTGTTACACAGTTTTGCACTTATCTGCTGTGTTGTTGTCAAACTTTTGGCATTCAACTGGTTGACCAATACATAGCAGTCCCATTAACAACATCACGGTGGTTAAGCTTCACTCAGCAGTACAGAACCTCTTCTCTCTTTGATGGTTTGCACTATTGTCTGGGATTGGCCAATTGGTGTTTTATGTGGTGTGGTGTTTGCCAAGAGATTTCAAAGGAACTGAATTATTATTTCAGATGGTTTACGATATGCTAGCGTGAGATCCTTTCTTAATTCCTTTTTTTTAAATCAGGCAAGCCGTTGGGTCGCGGAGCATTTGGCAAAGTTGTGGAAGCAGCTGCTTTCGGTATTGACAAAGTCTCCACATGCAAGACTGTTGCTGTCAAAATGTTGAAAGGTAATTCAAGATGTGAGGAAAGTTATAGAAATGGTGGCAGGCATTTGTAATTATAATGTAATTGGAAGATTGTTTTTTTTCCCCCTTAAACTGCCACCTTTGCAATTTAATTTTAATTGCGCTCAGTATATAGTATCATAGAAGAAGCTACGTGGAACAGTCATTGTATTCACATTGAAATAAAACCCTCGCCCGACATCAATCAACTCAATAATTTGGAATGTTGGCTCCTTTTTAAAACACAAACATTCAGGAGTTCAAAATCCTAAATCTTATTACATATAATTGACAAAAGTATGTTACTCCCCCTTTTTGTATGAACTTTTGCACTGGAATCATCAGGATTTGATCAGACTGTAAAATGTAAAGAGTGTGTCTGAGATTCGGTTGATCACAGCTTTTAACTCGGAGGGAACGACAATAGCTTTGATGTTTCCACATCTTGAAGGTTATTATTTTGGGATTCATTTGTCAGAGTTTGAAAGTTTTGGAGTTAATATTTTTAGTTGGGAATTTACTTTAAAGAAAATTTAATTTATCCATGCATATCCCACAATTATAATTGTAAATTGTCACAATATCTTAATTGTTTATAATCTTGAAACCAATTGCATGTCAGTGGCAGCAAGGAATTTTACTATGTGTTTAGCACAAAATAAATACATAGGACTAAAATTCCACTTTAAAGTTAAATAGCCTGCAAGACTATTTTGTTTTAAAATTTAAGATTGCCCAGAATTGCAGAAAATCTTTAAATTCTGTCTCTATTTCTTTTTACAAACTGTCGAAAACCAGCTTCTAAAATAAATTTAAGGATTTTCTACAATTCTGCTTGATCCTAAATTTTAAGCAAAAAATATCTTGGGGCCACAGATGAGCTCTTTAATGATTTGTGATCACAAAACTATTTGAAAGTATGAAAATACTTGCATGCCTGTACATATTCTGTTTGTCAGTTTGTGCATATCTGATTGCACTTATATCTATGTTTATATCCGTGGACCCCTGTCCTATGTCACTCTTTGTGTATGGAAAGCAAAGGGATACATTTATTTATCCAGTGGTTATTTTCAGATGGAGCAACATCCAGTGAGCAAAGAGCATTGATGTCAGAACTGAAGATCCTTATTCACATAGGCCACCATCTAAATGTGGTGAACTTGCTGGGAGCCTGTACCAAAGCGGGAGGTGAGTGGGCACAGTGTTTCATTGTCAGGCCAGCATCTGTCTTGTAGCCCTTATTGGGTTTCCCAGAACACAACTACATGGATTATTATTACTCCATTTGAAAATTGGGCAAACACTTTGGTTTATTTCCTTAGCTGCTGAAGCTACCCCAAGCCCACCTAACTACATCATCTAAACCAAAGCATTTCAGAACTTATAACTCTCTGTGGAAAAATCGCTTTCAAATTGATACTGGTTTTACGAATTTTCCAAAATTCTGTACAATCTTACATTTTTAAGATGATCATTTTAATAACCAATTCTAGAAGTAGTTAAGCAGGGTGTGTTCCTCCAGGTTGAGGGTGTGCCTTCCATTCTGGGCTCAAGAAAATTTTCATGTGGAACCTTCAGTCTGATTTGGATACTCAAGTATGAGTTCCTGCAAATGTCAGACACAGGGCTGCCCCCCAAAAAGCCAGGTAGAATTTCAGTCCTTGGGTTAATAAAAAATGTCTAATTCATGTAATTCTACAAACAGAATGCTGCTTGTTTAAGGTACCACATTTGAGCAGAATATCTACTTTTGCCACCCATAACATAATTAATGTGTCTGTCCCCAGAGGTAACATTATTATTCTTAATGCTTTACTATCCAGGACCACTAATGGTGATTGTCGAATACTGTAAGCACGGAAACCTGTCAAACTACCTCAGAAGCAAACGAATGGAGTTTGTTCCCTACAAGGTAACATTACAGACTTGTATTGCATGTTCATATACAATAGTGCAAGGCTCTGTGTGAGGCACACATTCCAAGAGGTGTAGAGGTCTTGTGGTTCTAGACTGCATAATAATCCAATGTCATATTTTTACTGTAGTTCTGCCATTGACAAAACCCTGCCTTTGGAGGTAGTGCTTCAATATAAATAAACCACTGTGTTACCTCTAGAGACATTTAGGATTATGCCGCAAGTACGTTCTTCAAATATACTAAAAATGATTCTCTACAATAGAGCCCCATTATAACATGATAATGTCATCATGCTCATGGTGCTTCCAAGTATGAACGGTAGAATATAAATGGAATTAGCTCTTGTAGTTGGGGTCCATGAAATTCCAACTAGCATTATAATGTGGTGTGATCACTGGCCAGTGCTCCCACATTCACTCTACACATGTGTGCAGATAACTCACTCGCTTCAAAATGGCTTTTCACCCGTTATAAAATGGCCTACTTCGAAATGTTCTGGTTGCCGACAATATCACTTCCTGCGTGACATCAGCTCTACCTGATAACCCAGATGTCTGACAATTTTTAGTGCATGAAAACTAACTAGCTAAGTTTTGAAGTGAACTGGGCTGCTTTCTGTGCACATTTTGGACTTATTGATAAATAAATATCGATGTCCACACCCCAATAAGTGAACCCACATTAACAAGAAGCTTATTATAATGGAATTCAACTGTATTTTTCTTTTGAACAGTATTATATTTGCTACATTGAACAAGATAACATGAATATTTCACTATTAAAAAATAAAAGTCAATTGAGAATAGGCATTTGTTTCTCGAGCTGCAAAGGTTGTACAGTATCTTATAGTTGAAGCACACCAATTGGCATTGCTCCATCAAAAACAAAAGAGCAAAAGCACAAAAGGACAATGTGTTTCCACATTGCCCTGTGTTTATGCCCTCTTAAGAACCCGTTGTCTTCAGTGATATATAAACATTGCCAATAGAATTCCTATGTGGCCATTGTCACTTCAAAATATGATAGATAATGCACTGTATTAAAAGGGCTTCCTTAGCATTACAAAAAGCTTGTGTCATTGTAGATAGGATTTAAGTGCTAATATGTTATTGTTCTTTGTGACCGATTGGAACTGAAAACAGGTCACAACCTTTAATCTGAGGGCAACTTGGACTGTCCAAATTCCCACACTATAATAGCAAAGGAACAGTGATCTGCTATTACAGAAAACATGGAGAAATTATCATCACCATTTTGATGTTGCATTTATCACCTGTTTTCTGAGTCTTTACAAACACAATAAATAAAATTAACTCTGTTTTATTCCATACTAGAATTTAATGCAAATTAGATTGTTCAGTGTTATTGGGTTATAAAGCTTTTATTTCCATGCAATTTTTTATTATGGTAATAATAATAATAATCATTACATTTGATATAATGACTTTTTATATCGATATGATGTCAGAGAGGGTTCCACAGGATATATAAAGTGCAATGATTATATATTTTATAGGCAAAACAATATAATGTTTTACTGGATTGTAATAACACTGTTTGCTGGGTTATAATGGGTGAAATTTGCAGTGTTCCTTAATGCCCTTCTTAAATTTGCACTGTCATTAATATAATGCTAGTATTAATGATCCCCACTAATGGAGACACCAATCTTGATTATGAAATAAAATTTACTGAACCAGGATGATCATAATTTTTGCTACTCATCAAAAGATCCAACTCAGACAAGAACTATTAAAGCAACAACAACTTGCATTTATATAGCACCCGTCATGCTGGAAGGCATTTTACCTGTCTCTTAAGGGCCAATAAACAAAAAAAATCCCAAGATAGCGGCAGATCAGTGGTGGGGGTGGAGTGGTAATGGGGATGTAACATTGCCAGTTAATGAACAGTCTGGGCATTACATCAGGTTGGAACCACAGAAAGATATGATATGGTAGAAGGCCATTTGGACAATTATTTTTGTTAGTTTTAGTTTCTCCAAGAAGCCATCCATTCTAATCTCAGTTCTGTGCTCTTTACCAGTAGCCTTTAATTCCCTCCCTCTGCATGTGCTTTCAAATACCTCAAACCTCTCTGCTTTAAACAGTCACTCCCAGCTAATCATTCTACCCCTGATAACCATCTGAGGGAAGAAATTCTTCTGAACCTTTTCTTTTACTCCTAGTCACAATCTTAAATCCCTGCCCTCTTGTCCTCAATCCTCTATTAGTGGGAAGGTTCACTGTTGACCGAGGAATGCTGGTTTACATTTATACGCAACTAAATTAACCACAGCACTCACTAATTTAAAGAACACATTAAAGAATATTGCAAGTTTTACCCCAATATTCCTAAATTTATTATCCAAGAATATATGGTTTTGTTTAGCATAATCCTCCTGTGCCACCATAACTATTTTTTTAAAAAATTGTATCTGTTTTCCTGGCTTCAGAGTAAAACACTTGGATTAAGGCAGACAAAGGAGAAGGATAGTGAGATTAAGCATCGCTTGGACAGCATTGCGAGTAGTGGCAGCTCCACCAGTTCTGGATTTGCTGAAGAGAAATCATTGAGTGACGTTGAGGAAGAGGACGGTATGGCAATGTTAACCTATTTATAGCTCTATGGCTCTACTTTGCAACTGCTTCATAGCTAAACCTATGCCTGTGTCACACGTGGGGAGCTAAAGATTATTGGAGTAACTGGATACTTAACAGGTTTCCTTATTAAATCATGCAAATTACAACAACAACAAAATTACATTTGTAAAGCGCCTTTCACTTCGGGAGGACGTCCCAAGGCACTGAACAGTCAGGGATCAGGACCCGAGCGTGGGGTGGGGGCAGGGTTGGGATGAAGTAGGAGGGCGGCTGAAGGTACAGTCAAAAAGGAGGGTCTTGAGTCACGCATTGAAGGAGGCAAGAGAGGGAGCAAGGCGAAGGGATTGTGGGATGGAGTTCCAAAGAGTGGGGGCAGAGAGGCTGAAAGACCGGTCGCCGATGGGGGTCGGGTGGGAGACCTGGAGCAGGCCGGAGCTTGCTGAATGGTGGGAGCAGACAGATTGATAGTGGGTCAGCAGGTCAGAGATGTAGAAGTCCTGGAGTCGTGGAGTCCTGTAGCTCAGTGGTTAGAGCACTCGCTTTGCAAGCGAGAGACCTGAGTTCAATTCCAGGCAGGGCGAAACCTTGGGCAAGTTTCCTTACTCCACACGCCTAATAATAATCCCTCCAAAAATAAAACAATAATAAATTGGTCATTTTCAATCTACGACTGTTTGTGGGACATTGCTGTGCGCAATTGGCTGCCGCGATCGCCCACAAATTTACAGTCAATTCACTTTACAGTGTGTTCTGTGAAGCGCTTTGGGACGTCCTCCCTATGTGAAAAGCACTATATCAAATGCAAGGATTATTATTATTATAGAAGGGGGCAAGGCCATGGAGGACCTTGAAAGTGAGATGAGGATTTTGAATTCTATTCTCTGAGGGATGGGGTGCCGGGCAAGGGTGGGGGTGATCGGGTCATGGAGCCTGGTGCGGGAGAGGACACGAACTGCAGAGTTCTAGATGATCTGCAGCTTGGGGAGGGATGAGTTGGGGAGGCCGACAAGGAGAAAGTTTACATAGTCGAGCCTTGAGGTGGCGAACGCTTGACGAATAAAGACTCCTTCCAGTAACTGGGTGTACGTCATGCTTTCCTACGCAAAAATTCAGCTGCAATCAACTTCTAGAGCAAAGTTCCCAAGGGTCGACAGAGATTCTGATGGGATTCCTTAGAAAGGAATTTCCTTAAGAAATAATGTAAATTTGACCCCATTATTTCACAGTGAGATATCACGTAGACACTGCTTCTCGTTACCAATGGATGGTCAGTTGGACTCTGCCACATGGATTTGATGATTTTCAAATTTTGGAAAAAATTCTACTGTTCTCTGTTGTGAGTCACTTAGCCCTTCACCTTTTTAACATAGTCCAAGCCACTTTTGATGATTGCCATGTCTGGCTAATTAAAGAGACTTTAAGATCTAGACATGTTCCAACCCAATGAGTCAAAGCCCCAGTGCCAAGGACAAGTCTGTGATGTCAATTCCACCAATGCTTCAAAGTGTTAAACTGAACCCATACTATTTCATTTCCAAACACTCACTTTTCACACTTAAACCTTGCATGTGACTCTTGCATATATTTGCCACAGAGCGGGATATTCCCCTTTCTCCTGAGAATAAGTTGATGACACTCCCAGCTCTCTGAGTGAATGGGATGTGCAGTTAAATCAATTAGAGTGATACAGGCTGAAGAGAGTTTTGCATGGTGTCATGGCCAACAGTCCCCCAAATAGAACATGGCTGTTTGTGGGACATTGCTGTAATGAAATTGTCTAACATGTTTTGCTCATAAAATACAGTCGCACCACTTTACAGTAAATCCTGTGAAACGCTTTGAGACATCTCAATGATGCAATAAGGCACTATATCAATGCAAGGGTTATTATTATATTCAAATGTGTGCCTTGCACCCACAGTATACCAGAAGTACATTAAACGTCTTATTTCCAGCATGTAGTATGAAGCCACAGAAGGTTTCCAGGTGTCCCAGCAAACATTGGAAATGCTCATGAGAGTGGTTGTCAGCTTCCTGGGTGCATGCACAGCTCGGTTAAGTGACCTGAACACCAATGTCTTTGATGATGACCCAGAATTTCTGAACGATGAACACTCTATGGTGTGACTTGTTATAACCTACCACGAGGTGGGTCCGACTGTGTAAGGGCCTTCACACACAATGTTTCATGGAAGGACTGCAGAAACTGAGTAATAATAATAATAATCCTTGCATTTGATATAGTGCTTTACCACGTCGTTGAGACGTCTCACAGAATATATTGCAAAGTGAATTGACTGTATATTTTGTGGGAGAAACTTGATGATTCAGTGTGAACACTGCTCTCTGGTCCATCACCGACAACTTTTTTGTCCATTTATACAGCTCTAGAAGACCCATACAAGCGCTTTCTGTCTATGGAGGATTTAATCTGCTACAGTTTCCAGGTCGCCAGGGGTATGGAGTTCCTTGCATCACGAAAGGTGAGATAACCAAAACATGCCCTCAGTTCTCATTTACCTGCAATCTCCCTTATAAATCCCACGATAGTTAATGCTTGCAACTTCTGTTGAAAAATACAATGAGTAATGGGTTCTAACATACAAATTTTGCAAACTGATATTCGTAAACTGGAAGTAATAAAATTCCATAATATGAAGTAATGTACTTTTTAACATATAGTGCTGCTCTTGTTTCTGTGCAAAGAAGGTATCACTCAAGCACCCTGGCAATGACTATGTGGATGGTTTATTTGCCAGTGTCAAAGGGAATTGCTGTTTGCTGTCAGAATGGGCTGTGCTCAGAGCCTCCTTCAATAGCAAAAAGAATAATCTGTTTTCTTTTGTTTTCAGTGCATCCACAGGGACTTGGCAGCACGCAATATACTCTTGTCAAAAAATAATGTGGTGAAGATATGTGACTTTGGCTTGGCTCGGGATATTTACAGGGACCCAGATTACGTTCGGAAGGGAGACGTAAGTTTATGAAAATAAAACAATTCAAATATAAGATTGTTTATAAAATGAGATGTGGTGAGAGAACAACTCACTGAGTGACTCAAAGCTGCATTTTGCAACAATTTGAGGGTTTACAAAGTTTTGCACTTTTACTATTCAGTGATTGAACCAATACGTATTGGTTGCACATCTTGTGATCTTTGCAAAATGCTATAAGTTTGGTATTTCTTTGAAAGCAAAAGCTGCTGTTAGTGAAGTGTCGAAACCTTGGGCAAGTTTCCTTACTCCACACGCCTAATAATAGTAATCCCTCCAAAAACCAAAAACAACAATAAAATTGGTCATTTTCAATCTACAACTGTTTGTGGGACATTGCTGTGCGCAATTGGCTGCCGCATTTGCCCACAAATATACAGTCAATTCACTTTACAGTGTGTTCTGTGAAGCGCTTTGGGACGTCCTCCGACGTGAAAAGCGCTATATCAAATGCAAGGATTATTAAGTGATCAATGACTAAATGCTGGCTTTCGAAGAACAATAATTAGTCATTCAAATTTACAATATGAACATAGTCCTCTCATTTTATGTATATATTGGCATTTAACTTGCAATATTCACATTTATATAGCACTTTTCATGTCGGGAGGATGTCTTGAGAGTGCTTAATACAGTTTCTCCCAGTGTCCTGGCCAACAATCCCCTTGTTAGTGGCACATTGATGCATTGCAAATTGACTATGCATTTGCTGCCAAAATTCATAGTCACTACACTTTATAGTTAATCCTGTGATGCACTTTGAGACAGCCTCCTGATGTGAAAGCACTACATTAAATGCAACAATTATTGTAAGACTTTGCAATGTAACCAAGTGACATGTTCTTTTCCAGGCACGATTACCTCTTAAATGGATGGCACCAGAAACCATCTTTGATAAAATTTATACAACACAGAGCGATGTCTGGTCATTTGGGGTTCTGCTCTGGGAAATATTCTCACTGGGTGAGTATTCCAGATTATTTTGTAATGACGGGAAATAAGCAGAACATCTTTACAGTGAATTTGTAGAAAATGAGATGGATATTTTTTCAGTTAAACTGATGTATTCAATTGATCCAGGTGCATCTCCCTACCCCGGTGTACAGATTGATGAAGAATTCTGCCGCAGACTAAAAGATGGCACTCGAATGCGGTGTCCTGGATACGCTACCCCAGAAATGTAAGCCTCATCCGTATTCATTCCTTCAACTTTTCCACCATTTCTCTTTTTAAATGCATTTGCCCTAAACCTCATTGCATGTCTTTACTACTGGACATATAGATTTCATAATAAAAATATTGATAATAATTCTTGCATTTGATATAGCATCTTATGTCAAAACATCCCAAAGCTCTACACAGAGTTTTCTGTGAAGAATAGTGTCTATGAATTTGTCACAAAGTAATCTGGAGTCCACAGAATGTGGCATGCTGTGGACTCTATTATGTGAGTTGTGTAAACCACATGTAAATCATGTGTAGAAGGAATTAAAGATGCCCTTAATTGTACTGTTATTAATGAATGGAAGTTGACACAGTTTATACAACTTGCAGAATACTGTTGGACCCACATCATCATTTCGACACTTTAAGACATTTGGTTTATGCAAAAAAGCAGTTATATAAAATGCACATTATGTTATTATCAGAAAAAGTCGCAGTGTTCTCTTATTGGGAGATAAAGTTAGTGAACAAGTTGAGCACCAATAAATAGCCAATGTAAGAATAACATAGATGGAAACTTGTAGACAGATTGCTTTCCTACCCTAATATTTGCAGGAGATCATAAAGAAATTGTACTTTCATCAGGAACAACTCTTGTAACCTCTTGCAGAATTTGTGTTGGTTGTTGCTCCACATTTTTTTTGCCCCCGCCTCGTTTGCCCCACTATTGGTGGGCGGGACTTCTGCCACTCTGCCCGCATCCCCTGGAACTCCATCCCGCAGGCCCTATGTCTCACCCTTCCCTTGCCACCTTCAAGATCCATTTCAAGACTCTCCTCTTCGATCGTGCTTTCAATCTCCCTGCTTCCCCCCTGACCTCCACCCTCCCCGACACAGACCCCCAGCTCGGGTCCGAAACTCTGTCTGTCCAGCGCCTTGGGACGTTCTCCCGATGTGAAAGGCACTTTACAAATGTAATATTGTTGTTGTTGTTTCTTTATTATAGACACACACACAAACATGCATCCAAACCCACTTAATGTGGCCTGAACAGAATCCATTAAATGATTTATTCGGTATATCTGAAGACGTTTTGAATATATTGACAATTCTATCCCTACAGCTACCAGACGATGTTAGACTGTTGGCATGGCAACTACAAAGAGCGACCTGTATTTTCTGAACTGGTTGAACATCTTGGAAATTTGCTACAAGCAAATGCTCAGCAGGTATAGTTGTGCACTGTTAAAATGTTAGAACATGTATTATATAGCATTTTCAATGCAGTTCTCATTTGATTAACTACAAAACATAGAGAAACACATTTAAAAGTGTTGAATCAAATAGGCTGTTAGACCTGTGATGGTAAGTATCCCTGTGTGTGAAGCTGACTAACTCAGTCATCAGTTGTCAGTTACCTGCCCAAGGTCACACGGTGATGCAACGGGACCTACGTTTTATTTATCGGTTTATAGAGAAAAAGACCCCCCTCCCCCCACAAGGGAGAGGAGAGAAGAGAAATGGGATCTTTCTGAAGATCTGAGGAGACATCCCTCACAAAGCTAAGTAGTTGTGGAGTCCTGTAGCTCAGTGGTTAGAGCACTCGCTTTGCAAGTGAGAGACCTGAGTTCAATTCCAGGCAGGGCGAAACCTTGGGCAAGTTTCCTTACTCCACACACCTAATGATAATCCCTCCAAAACCAAAAACAATAATAAATTGGTCATTTTCAATCTACGACTGTTTCTGGGACATTTCTGTGCGCGATTGGCTGCCGCGTTCGCCCACAAATATTCAGTCAATTCACTTTACAGTGTGTTCTGTGAAGCGCTTTGGGATGTCCTCCTGACATGAAAAGCGCTATATCAAATGCAAGGATTATTATTATTATTATTAGTTCTACAGTAAGCATTATTGATGGTTAACCAGCTAAAGCTTAGTTCACCACCAAAAGCCCCAGTACGGAGATGCCATCTGGTATTATTTTTACACACCATCTGGGGAGAAGCTTGATCACTGCTGGGCTTCCCTGCTAGTACGGTTGAGATCAATAACTCTGAGTGGGGCTTGAACCACAGGCTGTTGATGCTCCAAAAACATAGCACTATCACACATCTGTAGTTCAGTGGTTAGAGCACTCGCCTCGCAAGTGAGAGACCTGGGTTCAATTCCCAGCAGAGCGAAATGTTGGGCAAGTTTCCTTACTCCACACGCCTCTGTTTACCTAGAAGTAAGTAGGAACCCAGTTGTTAGTTGATTGGCGGGTTGCTTTCCTGGGGGTAATGATTCCTTTTTAAAAAAAATTGGTCACTCAGTCCACGACTGTTTCTGTTTGTGGGACACTGCTGTGCACAATTGGCTGCCTTGTTTCGCCCACAAAACATACAATCAGTTCACTTTACAGTATATTCTGTGAAGCTCTTTGAGACGTCTCAAAGATATGATAAGGATCTATATCAATTGCAAGGATTATTATTATCTTCAGTATTGCACAATATTTTAGCTTTTTATTGCTATTAGAACTGATGCAAGCCTAGAGATCGATCGATGGTAACGTGTGGTCAGGAACAACAATGGTAGCTCTGAAACATTTGTTTCGGAAAGGAGGGGTGGGGGGTTGGTAGGGGAGAGTCACACATTTCTCCCTCCTCAGTTGGGCTACGAGTTAGAAACTAAAATATCAGTGGCAACTCCCTCTCCCCCCACCCAATTTCATCAAAATCTTTAAGCCTGAAGATTTTAGTTGCCATCATCTTTGTTATCAATAATCATGGAGTGGGACTGGCATTGTTTAAAAACACCAACATTTGAACCTAACTTTATTCTTGTGCACCATTCAGCGTTTTGCACGACTCACTTCCTTTGAAAACCGCTGAAAATCATAATTTTAAAACTTGATTATGTCCATCAGCCTGCCTCAGTTGGTAGCACTCTCGTCTCTGAGTCATGAAGGGTTGAAGCCCCATGTTGCAATTTGAACTCACATAATCTAAGCTGACGATGCAGTGGTGTGTCGCATCATTGGAGGTGCTGTCCTTTGGATATTTAATTGAAGTCCTGTCTGCCTGTTCAGGTGGACATGATGACATTTAGAATCTCATGGAACTATTCAAAAACAACAAGTTGTATTTATATAATGCCCTAAATGCAGGATAGGATCCCACAGTGTTGAAAGAGAAGGGAATATTTTCTCCAGGAGAGGGACCATCAAGAGAAATTCCCTTCTCTTTTCGAATAGTGCCATGGGATCTTTAACATTCATCTGAACAGGCAGACAGGACCTCGGTTTAACATCTCATCCGAAAGATGGCAACTCCAACATTTAACACACCTCTAGCACTGTATTGGAGTGTCAGCTTAGATGATGTGATTCCATATCCCGACATTGGTTTTGAACCCACAATTTTCTGACTCAGAAGCGAGAGTGCTATCACTGCAGCTGGCTGACACACTCTTTTTTTTATTGTTTTATTTCAATTTTGATCCACAAAAACCTGAACCTTTTCAAACATTGCTAAAGTAGTGTAGCTAACGAGACAAACAGAAATATTGTGATGCCTGGAACAGAGGAAAACTCCTGTCTGGAAGTCTGGCCTTTTCCTCCACAAGGAGTATATATAACAAGCATGTCTGTCTATTTTCTGTGCTTTTAGGATGGCAAAGACTATATTCCGCTTAACATGTCACTAACTCTGGAAGATGATTCCGGGCTTTCTCTGCCAACGTCACCTGTTTCCTGTGTTGAGGAAGAGGAAGGGTGTGAACTGAAATTCTATTATGACAACGCAGCAGGAATACGGTAATGATCTGATGGACATCCGACCAGTCCTCAAGACAGTTTTATATGTGTCTGCGAGCTGAAGGAAAATAAGAGGAAATGGCTGAGCCATTTTAGTTGCCTTATAGGTCAGATCAAAGGATTTGAGCTGTGGAAGTGGAACATAAAACAATCCACAGATAAATTGGTCATTCACTTCCTGGCTGCTTGTGGGCCCTGCTTTGCGCAAATTGGTCACTGTGTTTGCCTCCAATTATACAGTCCTAAAAATTTGCCAGCAGTTACCTGTGAAGCACTTTGAGATGTTTTGATGTTAAAGTTATGAAATGGAAGGATTCTAATATTATAACTCGTATAAATGGAATTATATAATACCTGGTTACATAGGAGAAAATTAGCCCAGGTTTCCACTAGCCACTGTACAGAAATATCCATGTGAACATTAGATGAGAACAGACTGTGATGCACCCCTCAGTCGAGCAGCCTGCTGACTCAATATCCATATGACAAATGGCCACTTGAATTAAATACTGGAACGCTTCCAGCATGAAACTAAGGAGTAAAGGTTGGTATGTTCTTTAGGCTAATTAAGACAAGGAACATCTCAAGGAGTATTGCAAATTTGTTCCTTATCTAATTAGTTTCAGTGTAGTGTGCTGCTATAGCTCTGTAATGAGCACGCTGCTCTCAGTCTCTGATCTACACAAATGCTCATAAATCCACCTTCCAGCAGCCAAATGTATATAAAAAAAATAGAGATTGACAGTTTAACTGCACATAAGCAGCATAAACAGAGGAATAAATTTGTGAATATTCCTTAATATATTTTTGCCTTAAATAACAATGCCATCTGAACAATGTTAGAGGATATCACAAATGTACCACTTTATCTGAACACAAGACAGTGACTTCAAAGAGAAGGTGAGATATGAAAATAGGAGGGTGGAAATTATATCCAGCATTGGGTGATGTATTGTCTTAAAAATTACACTCGTTGCAGAATCGCCTTTTTAATGGGGTTTCTGCACAAGATTCCTTAATAAGGAAATGTGAGCTCTTTCTGATAGATAGAAATATATTACACAAACCTACAGGAACTCTACTACAAAGAGAGTTACTTCTGGAGCAAAGTACCAATAGGTTCAATGGGAATTCTAAAGGAATAATGCAAATTAGACACCAAAGTTTCAGAGCACATCTTTATTTTCAAAGCATATCCCTTTGACCATGCTTTCAGCTATTTTTCCACCGCCCAGCTCAGCCAGCAGTATGAAGCGCTTTGAGACATCCTCGCAGTGTGAAAGGCACTATATCAGTGTAAAGTGTATATAACTATTAGCACCATCTAACACTGCCTGCTTTATTTGTTTCTAGATATCTTAATGGGAGTAAAAAGCGAAGCCGGCCTGAAAGCGTGAAAACTTTTGATGAGGTGCCTGTACAGCAAACAACTGTCATTGTGCAAGAGGTACATATAGTTGTATAAAATGATGAATCAATTTTTGGAGGAGTTGTACAATTGGAGTCTTATCTGTGGCTAACAATGAACTTAAAAAAGTGCAATGCTTGTTTTCACTGAATACTTTTCCCTGATCAGGATAATCAGACAGACAGTGGCATGATTCTGGCATCAGAAGAACTTCAAACATTAAAAGTTAGACAGAGCCAGGCTGTGGCCTTTAGGTAAGCCTCTTCACAATTCTGCAGTGTGCATGAGGACATAACCCATGGGAGAGGGGGGAGGGAGGTTCCTCCTCTGTGAGGGGAACACACTTGCTATACTTGCCAGCAGTGGTCAAGTCATCCTCAGAAGACCTGGTCACAATGACTGTACTGGAAAACTAGCTAAGGATCTCTGAGTGTGGGCCCCACAAGGCGGAATATGTGAATCAAACTGCTTTATTAGTCCAGTGTCCTGGCCTGCACCAGCCATCCTGACAACCTGTTCCAGTCATTAATTATCCTCTGGGTAGAGAAAAACTTCCTAGTGTCTACCCTGAAACAGCTGTTTACAACCCTAAATGTGTGTCCTCTTATTCTATTATCCAGGTGCATCTTATTGTTTTTTTTAAATCCCATTTAAAATGTTATATCTCTATAAGTTTCCCTCTGAGTCATCTTTCAAGACTTATAAGTCCTAGGTTGTCTAGTCGTTGTTCATAGCTCATTCCCCTGTAGTAATAGTTTGATATTTATATATTAAAAATACATCACAAATTACAACTAACTTTTTGTCTTATCGGCAGTGCGTTAATTCCCAGCAAAAGTAAAGAATCTGTGACGTCTGAAGTCTCCAACCAGACAAGTGGCTATCAGTCAGGATACCATTCGGATGACACTGACACAACCGTTTACACCAATGAAGAAGCACAAGTGCGACAAGAAGCAGAAACGGCAAAGGAGTCTTACTGTACTTTAACAGTGGATTACAGCCCTGTGGTTCGATACAGTGCCCCACCTGTTTAAGAATTCCATGCCAAAGTCAAAGGATATCGTCTTCTAGTAAATTCACCTAAGCCTTAACTTTGTAACATTCCTGCATATGTTATCTAAAATATTGTCAATTTATGAACTTTGGATGTTACAACTGATAGTACTACTATTAATATCAACACTAGGTGTATTTATGCAACATATAGGGGCAGTGGAATAACTTCCAGCCAATATAATTTATCTCTAGTGTTCAGCTTTGCAGTTTACTGATGAACAAGTCATCTGGTGAAGTACTTGGATGAACTCCAGCCTGCTCTACTCCTGTAAATTCAGAAACCAGAAACCTTGGTTAACGAATACACAGACTCGTTTATGTGGCATGCAATGAAGAAGCAAGGGTATCTCTGCAAACGTGACAAACATTGACTTTATGTTGGTGCCCAGCATCTTTCTATTGTTATTTCATAACGCAATATTAAAGCAGATTGCTGCTAAACTGTTAAGAGGTTCTGGGCCGAAGATATGCTTCTATTGAACAAAGCACTCCAAGTTAGCTGCCTGTTAGTCAGGGCTAGGTTTCTAATAGATTATGAAACTGGATTCTGAATGTATAAATTCCATATTTTATACCTGTTAGACTGACAGCTCTCCAGCTAAACAATTCATTGAATGCGGAGAGAGCGAGCGACAGAGTGAGTGAGGAAATGTAGCTTGGAACCTATTTATAGCATCTGAATGTGGAATGCCTGCAGATACACAAATACATGTAATATATTCAACACAGATAGTGAGGTTTTCATTAAATGAACATGCTGTGTACAATACACACTCTTCTCAATCATATTTCAAATGGAAACGGTAGTAATAGAAATTGTTAGATTGATAGGAAAACTACTAAGGATTTGTCTGGTTGTGCCTAGACTTATTATATTGAGTGACAATCAAATCTCAGCATCTAAATGGAAGTATTGGTTTATGTAGTATAATATATTCATCACAATACACCTCTTTACTATTTTGAATGTGAACAGTTGGAGCCTTCACTATGATTTGCACAGTCTCCATGAAACAGGGCCCAAAGTGCTCAAATGTATTTCATAAATTAAAGATTCTTTATTATAAAGTTACTTTATAGAGAGTTATCTGGCAGCTATTTGGGTTATTTTTCCTGTTCTCCATCTATTTTTCTTCCAATTATGAATCATTTGAAAGGAAATGCAGTATTACAGTTCAGCAGTTGTGTATATATACAAACTATTTTTGTAATTTTTCTTATACTGTATTTGCATCCCATTTGTCAATGTAATGTTGTAGAAGATATAGTCAATGTTTTATAATAGAGAGAGATTGTTTGTTTGTTTGTTGAGTTATTATAGGAAACATGCTTGCTGGACAGGCCTTTCTACCCATAGAAGACCAAACAAATTGTGATTTCATCATCTCTACATTTTCTTCTGACAACCCCGGAACAGAAAATAGTCAGCTTCTTCTGAAGGTTGTTAATGCCCTTATGTTGGCTGATGTAATGGAGGAAATGTATTAAGACTCTATTTCTTGTATGGGTCTTCTGTCCATTATTGATCTGAAAGTACTGACATTTCTCAACCACCTAATGTAACACTTGGAATTTTCATGGAGCCTTATAATAAATTGTCTGTATTGTCTGTATGAGTAATGGAAAACGCACATCCCCTAAAATTTCCGACCCACCTGTTACCTAATCATAAGCAATTTATTCTAATGGGGATATTCCTTCTTCCTTCAAAATCTGCTTAAAATCAAATCTCATTGACTGTGATCACCATTTTTAAATATCTTTTTATCAATCGGTGCTCTACATTATGTCTGTCAAGTATTTCAAGGCATTCATTCTGGCAGAAAGGCACTACACAAGTGCAAGTTATTGTTGTGGTATAATTGTGACAATTTAATAAATGAGACAATTGAATTTCTGCTGGAGTATCCCAATGAACTGACCCAAGCATTGGGTGTACTTTACTGATCAACAACCTTTGCCCATCTCAGTTCTATTTGATATTGTTAAACAGCAAGCACACGTTTACCTCAACGTTTAAAGGCTGACCACTAACAATTGATACCATCAGAAGAACAAAGCACAGGGGTAAGAAAATATATTTTGCTTCAGTTCACTGCATAAGCCTATATGGTTATTGCTGACAGAATTCTAATTTTTTCAGTAGTTCTTAAGAAAAGGTTCTGTCATGTCCCCAATTACATATGGTTATGTATTAAGCTTAATGACACAATATGCTAGCAGTGCATTTAAAGCGTAAAAGCATATATATGTTCAGCACAGAAGGTCATTTCATGCACTGTGCCTGTGTCACTATTCTACACTTGACAACCTGTTTTATTTGGTTTTGTTTATAACTCAACATAAAAGATGGTTTAATGCTCTGAAATCAATCAAATTTCAAATCTCTAAAATGAATTGAGTATTGAATGTAAAAAGTTTGTTTATATATGTTTTGCTTAAAGTTCTTGGAAATAAAGGGTAATTTCTGTAGCTTTTTGTTTAATAAACTTTTTCCAAGCATTGAACAATTCTCAGGTTATAATTCTCTCTTTTGGTTTTAGTTTTGTATGAAAGATGTAAACATTCGCACACAGACCAGAGGTCCAAAGTGCCTCCTAGTCTTAGCCTTGAACTTTGTCTAAAAATGTAAGATTCTTCAGCATTGTGCAAAATTCTTAAATCTTAATTTTGAAACCTTTTCCACAGTTCTGAAAAATATTTGCAGGAAACTGGCTTTGAATTAAGAATTCTCAAATTCTGCACAATCTTAAATTCTAAGATAATGATCTAACATTCAAGCCTAAAATAGCAAGACAATAAGTGATGGAGGAGTCCATTTTGTGTCTTAAGAATTGACATTTTAGATGGTCCTACAGGAATTTCTAGTCATTTCCCCAAATATGCATTGATTTAGTCCATACAACTATTCAGCATGTTTGGGATTAATTTCGGAATCCCAAACAAGCTGTACTATGTAGGATTGTAATATGGTTTCTATTGAGATCATCTTTAGATGATCAAAGGCAGCCTGAAATTGAAGCAATAATATTAATTATCCAAAGTTGGGTTAGGGTTATGCCGGGTGTCTCCATGTCTCCCATGCATTTTGCTTGAAGAGATTTGAATCAAAATAAATGTAGAGATGTTAGTTGTATTCTGGATCATTAGATGTTATTGGTCAAAAATCCTATAGGCAACCAACATTTACATTTATAACTTTCACAGTGACTGTGGAGTCTGTGCTGATTGTAGGCTCTGTCACCTAGTCACTAATGACAACACATCAGCTGCAAGTACAGAGCTGGCCCCTCTGATGCCTGAGGATGTAGTTTACTTTCATCCTTTCACTAATGTTTCCACTGTTACAAGAAAGGAAATAGCAAGCATCATGCACAGAAAATGAAAACCGGCACATATCTCACCGCTAAGGGCTCGTAGTACAGTAGCATACATTTTACATTTGTAAGGTGCAGACACAACAACAAATTACATTTGTATAGCAAAAACAGAAGTCGCTGGGAACACTCAGCAGGTCAGGCAGCATCTATGGTAAAAGAAAAGTGAGTCAACGTTTTGGATCCATGACCCTTCATCAGAACAGTCAGAACAATTCTGACGGAGGATCGTGGACCCGAAAGGTTGACTCACTTTCCTTTCTCCATAGATGCTGCCTGACCTGCTGAGTGTTCCCAGCGACTTCTGTTTTTGTTTCCGATTTCCAGCATCTGTAGTATTTTGCGTTTTGTTTACATTTGTGTAGCGCCTTTCACGGCGGGAGGATATCCTAAGGCACTGGACAGTCAAGGATTTCCACCTGAGCTGGGGGCTAGGGTCAGGAGTGTGGAATTTACATTTAAATTAAATTATAATTTAACTCGTTGCTTTCCAGTCAAGTGAAGGAAGACATTACTCTAGATACATAGTTCCTGGTCCCAAATAATGTTTTGTATCAGTATGACTTCAATAAGCTCTATCAGTGTGGGAATTATTGGGATAATAATCTAATAATCCTTGCATTTGAGATAGCAATTTATCACATCTCGCTATCTCAAAGCGCTTCACAGAATATACTGTAAAGTGAATTGACTGTATATTTTATGGGCGAAACGCGGCAGCCAAATGTGCACAGCGGTGTCCCACAAACCGCCGTGGATGCAATTCTGAACAAAATAACCCAATTCATTGATTCAGCATTTGTGTAAATAGATATGATACAATTTTCCTTTACCAGTACATGTAGAATTAAGACTCGAAGGACAGAGTAGAAAATCTGCATTAACGGAAAAGAACAAGCCCTGTTTTACAGTATTGCCTGCAACCTAAATGGCTTCATATGAAAAGGTCAATTAGACATCAAGTAATTATTCCTTCAGATGTTGCTGGCATTATCTGCACATTAGGAGGAATCCTATGGCCAGCTGCCAAGTGGAATAGGAGACGTTAACCAATAAATCATTACATGCTGAAAGTTCATATGCATGGAAAATAGAATTCTGTTAAAACTGTATTAAGTTTCAGCAATGACGAATTGTACATGGGTTTCTGCATATTTACCAGCAAACAATAGATTACCAACGTCAGCCAACTTTACTCACCAAATGGCAGGACAGTGGTCAACCAGATAGTTTAGCTCTACTATTGAAAATAAAGTAATATTAATGCAGAATCAACTTAAAAATATCCCAGTATTCAAAGCTTGTACCATGGTTTATTACTGGCCATTTGAAAAGAAAATTAAACACAAGGATCTAATATGTAATATTTTCTAATGGAATTCCTTCATAAGGAAAACAAAACAATGTCACATTCATAGAATCATAGAATTATATAGCACAGCAGGAGGCCATTCAGCTCATCATGTCTGAGCCGGAAAACTTGGAAAATATACAGTCACTGCACTTTACAGCTTTGAAGCAAGCTCCTGAAAGTAGAATTCTGTTAAAACTGTATTAGATTTCAGCAATGATGAATTGTACTTGGGTTTCTATACACTTACCAAATGCAAGGGTATTATTATCATTTCCTATTGGACATCACTGCATATTTAGACCCCAGTACTATCACAGCATGATGTAGCCTTTGTCAGGATGCCATTAAGATGTGAGCTATTAAAAAATCTGCCATAATATAATTACTCAGAATATTATGAATCATAAGTAACAGTATAATAACATGATTTACAATAATTGCAAACGTATCACTGTAAAGTATCACAGTAAAAAATCAGTTGAAGTAATAGGTAGTATTAGAAAATAAATCAATCAAAATAAATTATACTTTGTTGTTTCATGCCAGTTCTGATAACCTTAGCATAGAAAGACTATTCCTGCATTGGACAGGGTACAGACCTAAGTAACCAGTAATCCCTGATATGAAAAGTTTGCTTCAAGTCCTGGATGAGAGCTAATTTTCTTCAGTTGAATGTCAACAAGACCGAGGCTCTCCTGATTGTCTCCCGTCAGTGCCTCCTCACCTCAGGCTCTGACAGGATCACCATCCATGGTTACACACTCCTCACTGAGCCAGTCCGGAACCTTGGGGTCTTGTTTGACCCTCAACTATTCTTTCCACCCCACATCTACGCCGTGACCCTCTCTGCCTTTCCCCACCTCCGCAACGTCGCCCGGCTCCACCACTGTCTCACACCGCAGGCCGCCGAAACTCTCATACACGCCTTCATTACATCCAGGCTGAACTATGCAAACTCATTGCTTGTCGGCCTCCCTCCATAGGCCTCAGATAATCCAGCTCTGCAGCCCGTGTCCTCCCCCACACCAGGCTCCATGACCCTATCACCCCCATCTTTGCCCAACTCCACTGGCTTTCCATCACACAGAGGATACAGTTCAACATCCTGGTCCAAACCTTCAAAGCCCTCCATGATCTTGCTTCCTCCCTACCTTTCCGACCTCCTAACCAGCGCTCAGCGGGCTCCAGCCTACTTCACGTTCCCCGCCTTGCTCACCCCACTATCGGCGGGCGGCCCTTCCGCCACTCTGCACCCACCCTCTGGAACTCCATCCTGTAGTCCCTCTGTCTCGCCCCCTCCCTCGCCACCTTCAAGCTCCACTTCAAGACCCTTCGACCGTGCTTTCGATCTCCCTGCTA